GCGCGGAAAGCGTGAACCGCCATTTGGCTGCAGGGACGCCGATTGCGGTGCCTAAGTAGGCCGTGAAGCCCCTCGAAACGGCCGCGTTTGACATCACGTAGTCCATCACCAGGTTCGCACCCGTCAAAAAGGCCGCAAATTCGCCTGAAAAAGGAAAACAATAACCAAATTAATTACAGGCAGAGAAATAATAATTAAAAAATAAAAGAAAAATCGAATGGAGCAGTGATAAGTTTACCGAAGGTGACACGAAGGTAGCTGAAGGCGCCGCCGGCGACGGGCATGTCCACGGCGAACTCGGTGTAGCAGAAGGCGGAGAGGAGAGCGCAGAGGCCGGCAATGGCGTAGGAGATGACGATGGCTGGGCCTGCGTAGAGACGGCTGGCGTGGCCGGTGGTGACGAAGACGCCGGCGCCGACCATGCCGCCGACGCCCAGGCCGACGAGGTCGAACCAGCGGAGGGTCTTCTGCATATCGGAACCCGAGCGGGCGCGAACGCCGCTCATTTCGTCGTAGGAGGTGGAGACGGACCCGGCCCGGCGAGCAAGGCGGGCCGGAGTCTGGGCTAGAGCCCGGAGGTAGGCCCGGAAGCTTGAGAAGGAGGAGGGCCCATGAGGAACATAGCCGCTGATCTCCATTGAGGTTTGGGGTTGAAAGAAGATTGAAGAAGGTGTTGGGAACTGGGTTTTGGTATTGGAGTGAGAAGAAATGGGGAAGGGAGTGAGGAGTTTATATAAAACTAAGAGACGAAACTTTTTGGGGCTTTTCGTTTACTTTTTTGCGGGTCCCGAGAGAGAGAGAGACAGAGGTAAATACTATAAGGTTTAACTCATAATATCCAAAGACCAATTAGGTTTAACTCATAATATCAAAGACCAATTAGGTTTAACTCAAGCAAATCTTTTGTAATTATGACTAAAGGTTTAATTCATAATATCATTGACCTCTAATTAGGTTTAACTCATAATATCAAAGACTATTTTACTTTTGGGCCAGCTCAATTAACCCTTAACTGATGATTTGCCCGCTGAATTTGTATCTAGTTTTCGATTTACTATCTATCTTTTTTTTTTAGAAAATTAAGAATATGAACTTCTTTTTTTCGCCAATTTCCCCCATGTTGTCTAAATCATCAACATTTCATCCAATTTGCCATTAAATATGAGAGTGAATTCATCATTTTCATGTTAAAATAAAATAAAAATAATTTAAATTTGAAATAATAATTATAATAATAAAGTAAAATCTCTCTCTCCAAGCCCTTCTTCCCCAAATCCCAACCTCCTCCCATGTACCCCTAACAAATCACACCACCACCCATTATCTCTCCCTTGATTTCTCTCTCTGGGCCTGGGGTTTGGGGGAATAGAGAGAGAGTGATGGTTGTGGGAGTATGGGCTGTTGAGAGGTGAGGCCGCGAAGGGGTGGTCGTGGGTCTAGGGGGCAGTGACGGTGGTTTTGGGGTGGGGAGGAGGGATGGGTTGCCAATGGGTCTTGGGGTGAGCTGCGGGCAATGTCTAAAATATCGATGGTATCGGAAATATTGATAGTCCAAAAACACGGAAATTTAGATGCAAATATTGGGATATTATCAATATCGATAAAAACTAAATAAAAACAACGGAAGTTGTAAGAAAAACTTGGAATTTTTTATTGAAACTTTGGAGGATGTTTATTCAATCAATTATTATTAGTTTATCACAAAAAATTGAAAGGGAATGCATTGCATGATGGGTTAACTGATTTAAATTGATTATATAGCGAGCTGACAAATACTGTAAGTGTAGAAAATATGTAGAAATTATTGAAAGAAGATTAAATACACCATAATCATTTATATATAATGATTTACTACAATATTTTACACTTTATACATTGCATAATAAGATACATAAGTGACTTAGTATAACACAGAGTTCTCATGAGGTTAAAAAATTTCCTTATCTTCATCATCTCTGTGTAGAGTAGTCATCAAATGATAAACCCCCAAAATAGTTTTGCATGTAATTGTTCAAAACAAAATAATATAAATATACATATTTTAGCATATTATCACAAAAATATAAGCAACATGGTGGTTAAGGCGTTGGAGGAGTGAAATAGCAAGGGTTTGAATCTTCTTTGTGTGTGTGCTTTGTTTTTTTTTTTTTTTTTTTTTTCTTTTTTTCATTCATATTTTCGATATTATAGCGATATTTTGACAAAATATTACTAAAGTGTGAGCGAAATTATCAATAACTATATTTTTCGATATTATCGATATTTATACGATATGTATGGATACGTTCCGAAATATCCATGATGTGAAAAAACGATATTTTTCTTTAATTTTTTTTTATAACAACAAAAACTTGGATGATATGTTGATTATTTAGACGGCACGGAGGAAATTGGAGAAAAAACAAAGTTTATATCTTTAATTTTCTAAAAAATGTATAGGGGCAAATTTAAAATTATATACAGATCTAGGAGACAAATCACCAGTTAAGCCTGCTTAATATGAGAGTCGCATTTACTTTTTAGCCCTCTTCTGTTTTTATGTATGTTAGTTTTATAGATTCAACGGGTCTACTTGCTAGGTCCCACTACATATCCAGTTGGAGCTTCGGAGAGGCTCATGCGCCTAACTTGGGTCTCTTCCATCACTTCACAGCCCAAGAAAAAGTACCCATCTTTGACTATCGGGCTCTCAGTGTCAGTCATTGCTCTACAACCTAAGAATTCTTCGCAGCAGCGTGCAAATATTCCTACCAAGACTTAAAGAAAGCCACAAAAGGCTTCAGAAACAAAGAACTACTTGTCCAAGAAAAAGAAAAAAAAGACAGAGAGCTACTTGGGCGAGGTGGGTTTGGTCAATTCATTTGATTCAACGATCCCACTCCAGATTATTCCACATTTTTGTTTTCTGTTTTTATTTGTTGCACAATTCATTTGCTTCAATTTACTTTAATTTCTGAGTTCATGCCTGCCTATTTGTCCCATGTACGTAGTATGAGGAGAGCGGATAAAAATTGACCAATTGTTAAATTACAATTTTCAAAGGGACAGTAGAATTGGGAGTTCTCATCTATAGATTTGTAGTCAATATGAGTGACATAAAAATACAAATTGCGTTGCAGTTTCTATTATATAAGCCTATAAATACCAATATTAGAATAACATAAAATATAAAGTTACAAATTGTGTTGCAGTTTCTATTTTATAAATTTAAAAAATACAAATATTAGAATAACATAATTTCTATTTTGTATTACATTGTATATTATGTATTGCGCATTATTAGCTTCATGTGTGTGTGTGTATATATATAAGACTACAAACGAAATATTTTGCAATTACATTTGAGCAAAGGTGAGACTAGGAGAAGAAGTATGAAAAAATAAAAAATAAAAGAGAAGGGAAATCTCCATGGCGTGGTGCTAGCAAAAGATGAAGAGACTATGAAATGGCTTTGAGAAAAAGAAAAAAAAAGAAGAAGCAAAGAGTGCAAGTTGCAAAGGCACCACTGACAGAGAAAAGAAAATGTACAAAGTGAACACCCAATTAACAAACAAACCTGAATAATGAAAAAATATATATAAAAAAAAAAAAAAAAAAAAAAAAAAAAAAAAAAAAAAAGAGAAAGAAAGAATGATAGATTAGAGGGTAAATACGCCCAGATAAGAGAGCGGCCACGTGTGCCCAGGGAAGAGGAGAAGAAGGCTCTCTGACTTTAACAAATTTGTAAAAATATATAAATAATGAAATTGTGTGTAATTTTAAGGTTTTTAAATTAGGCTATTGTAAAATTAGATATTATATTTTAGTCATTGACCTTATCTAAATTAGATGAAATTGTGTTGCTATCTATCACAATGATAAACTTCCTATTGAGTTTAAACCAAAGCTCCCAATCATGCTCAGTCGGAAAAACAAAACACCTCAACCCAATTTCTCAATCAACCATCTAAAAAAGCACACTTTCAGTCTCTAAAATCTCCAATTGCACCTTCGGGTGTTGACAAATATGAGATTTTCTTCTTATCTGGGTACTTTTCAAATTCGTGCAAAAAATCTTGGAAAGCAAATCCAGACCCATCTTAATTCACATAGAAGGAGGATGAGTATTGTGAGAACACATATTTCGGCAACCAATAAGAAGATGACACGTGGAAAAGGGGAATTCTTTAGGTCAACTAATTATCCTAATTAAATTCTATTTAATTAGAAAATTATCTTTGATTTTAAGATAAGAATATCTCCCTAAATCAATGAACCAATTTCCAGCAAATCTCTTTGATTAATTTCTATTATCTTTTTGGGTAAGAATAATCCAAATTAAATAAGGATTATTTAATTAGGATTATTCTTCAAACTCTAGCCAAGTAAGGAGTCTATAAATAACACAACACCCTTGATGTTATTCTAAAACCCTAGCAACTCTCTCTCTCTCTCTCTCACCACACTCTCTCTCCTTCACATGGCTCCAGCCAAAACACATACGGCTCATGCCACCCGGCTCTCTTCGTGAGAGAAGACCTCCATCCTTTCTATTACTTTGTCGTATCTTTCTCCATATCCAATTAATTAACTTACACATCGGAGGGCCTTTGGCCAACACCTCCTGGGTGTGGTCCGTTGACTCCAATTTATTTTACAAGGAGCGAGGAAGAAGAAGAAGGAAGCTCAAAGAGTGGAAGAATCTCTTGCAAATATTCTCCTGTGAGAAATTTGCTCAAACATTTTGGTGCTTTCATTGAGATATTTGAAGTATACTCAATACGTTGCTCTCAAATCTAAGGAATCTATTTCCTTCCCATAATCACTCAACCTAAGCCTTCCAAACAACCATGGTTGGAAGCATGCGCACAAGAAGCAAGATAGCTGTGACGACTCAATCCAAAAAGAATCCAAGCCACCACAACGGCACGACATCGAACCAACCGCCTCAATCCATGCAGTCAAACAGACCTTTGCCATCGCGTTTGACATATGCTCCCGCGCACAGCTCCAATGAAACCTTAGCCCTCGTGCAATTGGGCTCCACACAGTTCACTCATCCTAATCCATGCAGTCAAGTAGACCTCAGTCTTAGAGTCGACCAGCTCATTCAAAAAGTAGATGACCAAAACAACCTGGTTAGACAACTCCTCATGCATATTGACTTTATCAGTAACCTTGGCCTTGGATCCAACGGTGAAGAGAGAAGGATGAATGAACGTACCTACAGTTCAAGAGGTCCCATGTAAGTAGAGTAAGAACTAGCAGGTAAGGAGGAGGACAAGAACGCACTGGCCAACACCCTGGCATGTCACAAGCATCCGCGAGCTCCAGCCCAAGTAGATCAAATCTCATTTCGAGGCTAGGTCCCAGGACCAATGTGCATGACAGGTTGGGCATGCGATTTGTTCATGCCCTCTTGTGCCTGCAGAGAAGAATTCATGCGAGATTAGAATACCCAAAAGATAAGCCTCATGATGCTCCTTATAAGATACGTAAAGAAAGACGCTCTCTGACGCACTCCGGATAAGCCAATTCACAATAACAAGCTATAGAGAATCTCTCTCAAGCTCAGTCCACCAATACAACACGTAGGTAGGACATCCGAGGAGATCAACCCCCAAGAGTCAATGAGGAGGTTGATCAGCGACACCCGCATCATTGGAGACATCGACGTGAGCGGCAAGCCTTGGGAGTAGAAGATGTTGAGAAGCTCATGAATGATCGATTTCGAGACTTCAAGGTTGGAGGAAACTTGGAGGATGCCCTACGCAAGGAGATGGACCAAGCGAGCTCCTCTCCATTCACTAACGAGATCGAGCAAGCAGCCCTTCCAAGGCGATTCACAACCCCATTTTCACGTCATTCAAAGGGGATTCCAATCCCAAGAGCCATATGAAGCATTTCAAAAGTGTCATAATTCACTACAAGTCTGAGGGTGCAATGATGTGTAAGGTATTTGCAATCACCTTACGAGGGGCATCTTAAGACTGGTTCCATACCTTGTCGTCTAGGTCAATCAACAGCTTCAGAAAGCTAGCACTAGTCTTCACAAAAGAGTACACCTCTTACCAGATGAGCAAGAAGCAGCCTGACCACCTATTCAACCTATGCAAGAAGCATGATGAGTCTCTCCATCAGGAGATTGAAGAGAGTCAAGGCAGAAAAAGCTAACATTGTGGGATGCGATGATCTAATCGCATCCTTTGCAGAAGGGCTTGTCAGCCGAGCACCACTTGTACTACGTATTGACCATCGCTCATAGCCCAACTCTAGCAAAGGTCTTCGCTCGTTACTGCAAAACGTTATGCGCTCTGGGATGACGCTCAGATCGCCTCCAAAAATTCTGCCAAGCAAGCTTATCAGCCACCCAGGGAAGCAAGTCAGATGGGTTGATGAGCCAGCAGCAGGAACTATGAAGGAAAACGCAAGTCACAACCCCAAGGAAGCACCCCAATAGATAAAAGCTACACAAAATTCTTCATCTTGATACATCAAATCTTGGCCCAAGTGAAAGACAAGTCCTGGCTGAAGAGACCACCACCCTTGAAAGAATATCCAACTAAGAGAGTTACCAACAGGTATTGTGCTTTCCATGGGACGTTTGGGCATCATCAATATCCAAATTGCGCAAGGCGTGATTGAACGACTTCAAGTGGATGAGAGCAACATAACTAGCATCTTGCAACTTTCAGTTGTTCAGCAGATGGGCATGGTGACTAAGATCAACAAGTCAGCCACGTCACTAACAGGTTTCCACAAGGCAACCATGATCACTGTGGGAACAATAGAGCTCAATGTTTATTCTACACCGGTGATCAATTCACAGACATTTATGATCATAGACGAAGTCTCCTTTACAATGGCATCCTGGGCAGGCCATGGATTGGCAAGATTAATGCCATCACTTTAGCCACACACCAGAAGATGCACTACCCAATCTCTAGGGTGGTGTTAGGTAGATTAATAGCGACCAGACGATGGTGAGAAGATGCTCAACCCCAAGGATGAAGAAAGGCAGACCCAGTTCATCTCTGTAAATCAAGCAGATTAGAAGGGACATAACAAGTAAGGGAGGAAGCAGATCTCGTTCCTGACATTCGAGCAAACAAGAAGGGAAAGGGAATTGTCATTCCCAAATAGCAATCAAAGGGCCAAGACCAAGGCTAGGGAATTCGTCTAGAGGCCTCTCCTTAAGAAGGATGGAGGCCAAAAGAGGACGTTGAGCTAATACCCATTGATCCTGACAAGCCAGAAAGAAAAGCGCGGATTAGCTCACTCCTAAGCCTAGATGAGAAGTTGGAACTGACCACCTCCCTCAAGAACAACAAAGACTTGTTAGCATGGTCACCATCTGACATGCCTGAAATTGACCCGCATATCATCTGTCACAGGCTACATGTCAACCCAACTAGCAAGCCAGTAAAGCAGAAGAGACGCAACCTCACTCCCGAGCGAATTGCCATCATTGAAGTCGAGATTGACAAGCTTCTAGTTACCTGTTTCATCAAGAAGTTTCCTATTCTGAATGGCTGGCTAACATTATTCTAGTAGCAAAGAAAGACCAATGCAAGTGGAGAGTTTGCGTCAACTACACCGACCTCAACAAGGCATGCCCAAATGACAACTTTCCACTACCGAGAATTGATCAACTCATAGATACAACTTCTGGTAACCAGCTGCTCAACTTTATGGACACCTCCTCTAGCTATAATCAAATCATGATGCATGAAGACGATAAAGTAAAGACCTCATTCATAATCGAAAAAGGTACCTACTGCTACAAAGTCATACCCTTTGGGCTAAAAAACGCCGGAGCAACCTACCAAAGGCTCATGAACAAGATTTTCAAGGAGCACATCGACAAGACTATGGAGGACTACGTAGATAACATGCTAGTCAAAGCTCCCCAACAAGCAAATCACATCAAGAACCTTGTCGAAGCCTTCGTCATGCTCAGAAAATACCGCTTGAAGTTAAATTTGAGCAAGTCACATTTAGAGTCTCATCCGGCCAATTTTTGGGACACTTAGTCACCCAAAGAGGTATTGAAGCACAACCTAATCAAATGAAGGTCATCCTCAACATGAAGTCACCTGCAACAATGAAAAAGATACAAAGTCTGACGGGTACACCACCCACTCTCAATAGATTTCTTTCAAGATCCACCGACAAGTGCAAGCCATTCTTCAATGCCTTGAAAAAGAGACAAAGAGACAAGTGGGATAAAGAGTGCGAAGCATCCTTCCAAGACTTGAAGGCGTACCTCACTTCACCTCCCAGCCCTAGTTTTATGTGTCTAGTCCAAAACAGGGAAAACTGTTGTTGTTATATTACTGTCTTGCTAAACAGATTATCATACTATGAACACTATGTTATCCCTAGTTTTAAGTATGCGTCTAGTCCAAAGCAGGGAAAACCGTTGTTGTTATATTACTGTCTTGCTAAACAGATGATCATACTACGAACATTATGTTATGGATAGGTGGTTGTCACGATAATTACTGGGAGTCTCTTATTTATGCTCTTATGTTCTTTATGGTTGATCTTTATGCAGAAACATGTTCAATGCCTGATATCTAGTACTTATACTAGCCATGTGACTGTTGAGATTTCAATAATAAAAATCAAATTCTACGACAATTGAATTTGATTCTTTGAGCAACCATTTTTTGGTTGAAATGGTACATACCAACTAATGTCTTTTGGCTGATTGGTACATTACTCTGACTTGATTAAATGTATTATTCTTGCAACAGACATAATTCTTGGTGGTGCCCTTTGAGAAACTGGTGTTGCACACTTTGAGATATATTGAATGGATGACTTCTGTTCATATACTTCCTGTTGTTAATAGAGCAATATATTAGAAACCAATCCTAAATAGTTTCCTACTCTTTCTTCTTCTCTACAATCATACAATTTCCTTAGAATTTATAATAGAATTCTTCGAGTTTTTGTTATTCACATATTCTAAACTTTGCCAACAAGCTCACTAACACTTTAAGGAACCAATTCAAATCGTACCTCAAAGTCATCCTTCATATTTCAGTTTTTACTTGACAAGGCTATTCTGCGAGTTTGGTATCAGAGCATGTTTAGCACTATAATAGGACACTTGGAATAATAAAGTACCTATTTATACATCTTCTAGATAATACGACTTAATCTTGATGTTGTTTTTACCATGAAACACTTACAAGCATACCTTTCTTATTTGTATGGTTCGATCTTGGTGGATGCCCGTTAGAATTAGAGAAACTCTAAGATAGCTTAGAAGATACAAAGTTGAACATGAAGCATAAGTTAGAAATTTACGAAAATACTGATATAGAGGAAGCAGAATTTTAGTAGTGTAGGAGAAAATCAGAACAGTAAAAGTTGGAACAAGAGAAAAACCTTCTTTTAGGCTCAGGAAGATCGCTAATTTCTGCTTTCAAGAGCTCGGAGAGAATTTGTTCAACATCATCGTCAAAGGTGTGTTCAACCCCTTTCCTCTCCTGTTAACTGTGAGCCGTTTCGGTCATTTCTTTTCCTTGCCATTACTAATTTTTTTCAATTTTATCGAATGTGGCCAGACTCTTCTTTCGCTTCATCCTTGGAGTTCTTGTTTTGCAAGAACTTGTCGTTCAACATTGCATGCCTTTGAGACTAGCATGTCAAATGCGTGTGGCCTTGGGGTGCTCACTACGTATATCTCAGGTGGGAGATTACCGGGGCACACATATACTGTGAATTGCTTGGTTAATTTTTTCCATGCATTGGAGGTTAAAATTCATCCATCCTGCGATGAATTCGTTAACGCTTTTGATGAAGCTTACAACGTGTGCTAGAAATGGCCTTACATGCCTTTACACGTAATGATGGATCTGAGTGCCATTGGGTATACCCAGTTAAGACTGATTATTCAAAAAATTGAACAATTTTAGAAGTAACGACTGATTCTCTAATATTTGCTGCTATTTCTACCACATTACTATCTACTGCTATTTCTACCACATTGCCATCTACTGCTATTTCTACCACATTGCTAAATACTGCTATCAAGTCCCACATTGCTATCTACTCTAATACATCCAAATCCCACGTACATTAGTGGAGCCCAGATGGTCCGCAAAGTGGTCAATAAATGTATTACAGATAATAAATTTTTTTCAGTAATTAAAGGTGCACGCTACCTTGATAGCCCAGGTGAGCAAGTCGCCAATTCATACCAACCGTCCATTCAGTTTTTACTGAAGATAAATCATATCTGAAGATTTCAAAATGCATGCTCAGACGTCACAAATATGTATATCAATAATCAAACGACAGGATCAAGTAGATGAACCTAAATCTTAGAACATCCCCTGAAACCTAATACATAATCAGTTTTCATTTTTCACAACTAAGGTTACTTAAACGCCCATAGGTTCAAAGATGGAAAACACCTTCATGCCATGATATTCCTTTGTTGTCCAAAGTCAAATTTCATTTCTAAAAGCAGGTCTCGATTTAAACTCCAATCAGACCCTGAGATTTATGACTGAGGTGAAACCCTATTCCAGTCCACATTGACTTCACAAAAAACAGTCCAAAGTAAAATTCCGACAGGGTGCTTGGGGAAGCATGTTCGAGGAAGATAACTGAAAAGCCAGAAAGGGTCATTGTGCAAAGTGAATTCCCCAAAACTCCAAAAATCAGGTTTTTCAAGTGAATGAACAAAAACATTAAGCCAAGTATACCATCCAAGGTCACCTTGAAAAGACAACTCATCTACATTCCAATAACTGATAGAAGTTTTTCTGATGTCTCAAAACAACCAGGTCGGCACTCTGATAAGAGGTCTACTAGACAATTCAAAATATACACAAGAATGGTAAATAGCAATAATACACAATAAAAACATCAATCCAGTCTTCACATTGTACTATAAGCACTACTCAAAAGTAACTATAGTGAGCATGTTTCAGCTAAAACTCTAGATAAACTTCACCAAAATAAAACGAACGAGTTCCTAAAATACAAACCTTATCTAGGTCCCTGATAACATTTACTTCATGTCGACGCATTACTACCATGCGAGCTTCAAACAATCTTTATTTTCAGATATATGAAACTTCATGGGAAGGCATTATACCAGATTCAGAGACAGGCGCATGCTACCATCAACTAGAGAAAGCGTGGACCTGTCTTTGGCACTTCCAGTTCACTCTTGGCTTTTATAGGGTATCTGCAAGCGGCAACGTAAGTTATGAATAAATCTAATACCATACAGGATCCGATCATTCTAAAAGCTGCATTTGACTGGATTAACTTGGAACCAATCAATCATTAAGTTTGGTGAACCGACTCGACTATAACAAAAGACTGGAAGTGATGAACCACCCAGGAGATATTTATTTATGGCGAAGGACGAAAAGATCACATTAGACAGCATGAAAAAAAGAGAAGATAATTGTTCAAATAGGGTTGGCAGCCAAAATAAAAAGAGACATTGTTGAAATTGGATATTCAGGTGTTAAGTTGGAAAATTCAGATCATAGGTTGACATTGCACATCAAATTACGTAGAAACCTTCAAACGCAACTGAAAGCAGAACCCCTACAGCACTCTCTGCATTATTCTTCTTCGGTAAATTTATTTCTCTAAGCACCCCATTTATCTCAAACTGTAAATTCAATTATCAGAAGGATTGAAAGAAAATAAAGAAAAAAGAAAACTGAAAACAAAAAGAAACCTAGAAATATGGCAGAATTTAAGACCCATCTTATAAACCTCACGCACCATGCAAGGGCATCTTTCTTTGAGATTTACATTTCACAGAGTTACAGCTTCAGTTTTATAAGTCTCTTAAGTTTCTTTTTACTTGACTCAAACATGGTTTGTATGATCACAATCAAAAGTCTGCCTGCTCAATTAGTCAACCACCACGAAATCATTTCCGGGAGTAACCAGAAAACTAGAGACCAATCCTCCTTCCCATGTACGATAAAGAAAGAACTTGATACATGAGATTGATTCACTCTTAATGTGCATGTTAGTGTCGATGTGAGACCAGATTACATTGACAATGTTTAAACTGCAGAAGTAGAATTGTACCTTGCATTGAAGCTCCGTTATCGTAGACCTCAACAAAGTATCTCCCACAATCAACCTCAATTTTTTCACAAATTCATCACGGGATATCTTTTTTGCCTGAAAATATATCATCACAATCAAGCACATAAATGTGTCAAGAAAGATTTCAAAGAAAGAAAGTCAAAAAAATAAAAGGAGTGAGAAGGGAAAATAACAATATTAACCATACCCTGAATAAGTCATAATGAATATTAATTTGTTCCATATCTTTGGGAGGAACTTCATTTCCAATAGCAGCAAATAACATAGGGAAAGGCATCCAAGGGGATTTAGGGGTTCTTTCAGGAGTAGAACCAGTAGCTGTGGTTTCCCCCTGATATCTCCCAGACTTTGACACCATTTGACCATTGCTTCCATGAGACTTCCCAGAATCGGAATTTGGCTGATTTTCACTCCCCTATGAGAATACATATGCTAATTGTTGAGTACCGTGGTGAATTAGAACGTCACAGTTAATAAAGGAAAGAAAAAAAAGAGAGACAAAACTTTTTATGACAATATAAATTATTGTCAAAGTAAAAATGTAACTGTTACACGTAAAAAAAGTAGTTCAGTCACAAATAGGGTTGGCAGCCAAAATACAAGGCACTTGCAGTGTATAAATAATTCTTCGTACATCCAGAAGCACCCCATTCACTTCTCTAGACATTCAATACAAGTAAAGACAAATATAAGACTTCATATAATCCATCACACTAATGCAAGTTCACCAGTGTTTGAATGACAATAACGGTCACTGAACATAGCAACAATTACATCTGCAACAATATGACATTCTATAATGAAAAGATCTGATGTCTAATGGCCCATAATGCTCAAACCTTCATTGTTAATCATATGTACCAATATGTGCACTGAATCTAAGCCGAGTGCATTTCATAATCAAATTTAATTCCCACATGTACCAAATATTGCATAGTCAATATTGATCTTCAGGGTAGATGGTTATGTAAAAGTAAATGAATTACAACCAAAATAATGCATGCCAAAAATGCAAGCCATACTATATACTATAGTGGAATTTTAATTTCAATGCAAAAACCGGGAAAGCCTACTAAACTCCTCATAACTTCAGTTCAATTTATATAACAGCTAGAAAATGAGGCCTAAGCATCCCCACAGATTGGAACCCAGATCCCAAACATAAAATCAAACTTCCAGGTGGCCACCGCATGGATTGGATGAATGTGAGTTACACTTCTAGAATTATACTATGCGAAACACTAAATGTAAGATTATAAAACAATAATGAGCATTTCAGCATATAATTGATTGAATAAAATACAAAGATCACAATGTCACACCCAAGAAACAGAAAATATTCACATTTTTAGCACGTACTGTATCAACTGCTGACGATTCCAATTGCATCAAGCCCTGAGGTCCATGGCAAGATGTCGCAACCCCGGAAACACCAAGCTTATTCTCAGTCCCAACCAGATGCCCTGTAAAAACATGAATTACCAGTTCTAAAGTAGTAAAAAAAAGTTTCATAAAATGAAACCACGGTATTCATACAGCATTTGCAGAAGATACAGCCAGCTGTCTCATTGATTCAGTAGTTGGAAGGTGATTCATGATTCATCTCTGGGATTTAGTCACAAATCCCAACCATGAGTTGATGTCTATGAACAATGGATGAAGCCCCGTTTGCTTAACTAACGCCTAAACATTTTCCGTCCACATTGAAATAGATTGGGATGATATGAACTAGTTTGTTTCTGAGTCGTAAAATTAGTAGCATATACAAGGACACACAGGTTCTTATTAAAGATTAGCAAAAAAAACAGGAAGCTTTGAGGAGTAGAGTATCACCTTCACTCTTCGATGAGACCTTGAAACTTACAACAAATTCTGGGTATATGTGTGTATTCATGTTCATATTCCAGACAATGTAATGTTTTGGATCCTGAAGATCATCCACTCCACTATCAAAGTCCTTGCTACCGGGATGGAATTGTTTACTTCCAGGGTGAAGTAACTCCATATTTCCCACTATGACACGACAGAATAACATGTGTCGTGCCCCGTTTTCGTCAACATCACAATAACTTGCACTGTTAACAAATGAAAAGTTCATTCCTTCTCGGATAAGCATGCTAATAAGAGTAACCAAATGTAAAACCAACCATAAGGACAATAAATCAAACTATCAGAAAATAAATTTTCTTAGCAACCAATATCAATAACTTCTCATAAAGCCAGCAGTGCCATATAATCATAACAATTCAATTCAAAAACCAGCAATGCCCTTAAGTCAATTAATACATTTATCGTAGAGGAACATCCCACAAGGTGTAGCTAGATCTACCAAAGCATTAGATGATGAACAGTATGAATACCATCTTCATTACTTCACATTAATCATGTCCAGCCCTTACTACCATCCATTACAGTGCAGAAAATGTCACCAACAGTTATTTACCATTTTGCACAAAAGAAGCCAGCTAAAGCCAGGCACCTCAAGGCACATTAAAAATCATCCGTTGTTATTCCCTTTGCCATCTCATTTGACAAAGCATTTTTATATATGACAGGGAAGTAGCTAACCCCACCCCAGGAAGACTAACTTCTTTCAGATATCTCATCATTCATATCGAGGCTATAAACATAACTCACACAAGTAAAACAAAAATTGTAAAGGACAGAAAAAAACCCCACTAACCAGGTGTTAGAGAAGCTAGCTGCTGTGAGATGAACACCAGTGCCATATATGGACTTGTTTGTCGCTAGTCCACAATGACCAAGCCCATACATCATTATAGTCGAAAGCTCCCCCTTTGAAGAAGCAAGCCAAGCATATCGTACATTTGCATCGCCACGAAATGCTTTAGTAATTTCTACCTGCTTCTGAAAAAGTTCCAAACGAGCTTGCATCAGATTACTTGAGCATTGGTATATATCCAGTACTTCTACACCATCAAAGGTGCTCACTCCTTTCAGAAATATATTTTGCACCGTATCACAATCCAACTTTCCATTTTCAGTGTCAGTTGTTCTAGTTAAATTATTCTTCATCTCTTCATTGCCCTCAACATCTTCATCAACTTTTAGACCATGTTTCCTGTTGCAACTATTTTCAACTTCCATACCAGCACAATTATTGGCAGGTATGTGATCAATCTGAATTTTCTTTACAAAACCATTTGACTCCCCACTACATTCATTCAACCCAGATTGACCCACTCCATTTATTTCAATTTCCAGGTGCAGTTTAATCTCATGCGACCCACAATGATCTTCAACCCAGGGTTCCAGATCTTTCACACCTTCAGGCAGGCAGTTCCAACTTGGCTCATCATCCTCCTCAGCATAAATTTCGGGAAAGAAACAACTACCAGTTTCATCAATCCAAGCAATAGGTTGCTGTAGGCCAGTCTTCAAGTCCAAACGGAACATATGCAAAAAATCTAACAAATAATGTTCACCTTGTGATTTGATGTTCATAGCTGCCTTCTTCACCTGTAGATCTTTCCTAACCAAGTCAACAAGATCCCGAGGAAAATCAGTCCATTCACCATTCTGATAAAACATCAGACGCTGTGGCACACTGCTCCTTGCAAAATTTGAATAAGATGCAAGCAAGGATCGTCTAAAACGAGGTCCACAGCTCATGGGCTTGCTTTTGGTTCCATACAACTTCCTTCGCTTGCCAAGCTTATTCAAGTTCAGCCTCTGTGGTAACGCTCTGTGGGTAGCTCCAGGAAAATTTGCAGCATACCGAGTTGCCCGCTTTCTCTTTAAGTCGAGCATACCTCTACGACCACTATCCAATGCCTTTGCGATCTTTGGGTCCATTTCTGTCTACTAGACCAATAACTATCAGCAAGTCTGAATCCAAAAGCTCGAAAGCAAAATTAAGACAGAACTCTAGCTCCAACCATTGTTAGAAGCTGAACCATCGAAGATAATTTTCAAATCCTTCCTGGGTGAGAGAAAACATTAAGAATATATGATTACACACATGTAATCAAGTTTACAAATAAACTCTGACATAATAGATAAACAAAGTTAACTGACCACAAACCATAGCATACATCATTATGATACCAAATAATCTAAAACCGTATACAACTGATATATAAATTGAGTATGTCAACAGTTCGCTGCATAATTGAGTAGATTAGCATTCTTGTAATTAAAGAACTTCTACAAAATGAGGAACAAGACTGAAAAAGTAGTCATGGTACAGTAACTGTAAAATCAGCATCACATGTTGGGTGTTCAATGGTGATGAGAAGGAAGAAGCATTTAGAAGCTTATTAGTCTCATCCTTAAAGGAGATACAACCTAGGAAAGACGATCAATTCATTGACATTCCTCATACCTCATAATTTGTAATAAAATAATTACAAATTCATAGCAATTTCTAAAGATGAGAAAGAGAAGAAAACCAACCTTGTACCCAACAGCAGGTTGACTTATAGAGATGACTTTAACACAAAGTTATTAAAAGTTTTAGAAAAGAACCAGCGAGAGAAATTCAGAAGGAAAAAATAACCATGTCAAAAGCTCAGCCAATCCGCTGTTCATTAATAGAGGAAGCTCTCATTATCATCTCATGCCAGATGTAACAAAGGATTCTCCTTTGTCCTTCACACAGGAGCGCCTAGTGCTCCTCAAGGAGAATTTTCCTTTCAAGGTCAAGCACATAAAAAAGGGCCCATCAAAAGCCCAGTTGTTTTGCGAACGAAGTTCAGAATCAATAAGGGTTCGTAGAACGAAGGGGAGCACAACTGGGGCACATCCCCACTTTTTTGTTCGTAACGAGAGATAAAATGGTTTTCTTCAAGAAGTCCAAGACAAAGGAATACAAAAGGGCCCAATATAAAAACTACAAAGACTGAAACCGGTTTTAAAAGGCATATAAACAAGCGAACATCCAAAACCAAAAACACATATATGTACACTGGAGCAGACAGCAAGGCTCCAAAAGCCAACACAAGGCCTAAGAACAAAAATTTTGTTGAGCTTTGCATGCTAGTAGTCATTCTCCTGAAAAGTGGATTTGATTTGAACCCAATTCAATCAAGTCTAAATACATTACACACATATCTGGAAAGGTAGCGTTGATGTGATTTAACTTCAAAGTTTTCATTAAGACAAGTTGTCCACTGGTCTAGCTAGTGGAATGCTAGCTGAACATCAAAGAAACATCATAAGAAGTCTTTACAAACTGGAGAAAGACATTACAACCATCATTGCTGGGTGGCCCAAGCCCAAAACTTTAAATACTGCAGATACAACCAAAATTGCTGTTGAAATTCCGGAAAAATGGTTTCCAGATTTTCTCTGATATTTGGGAGAAAATTTGGTGCTTTAGACTCTTTCGGTATAATTTTGGTGTTTTGGTGAAATTTCGGTCATGTCATACCCACCAGTGGCTACTCGGGGTTCAAAGAAGAAGTTAAAAGTAGCTTTCTACATCTGATATGTTAGAAGAAGAGCGAATGAAGAAATTGAAGGAATCAGAAGGATAACAAAGACAACAGACTGTTAAGTACCTGATTTTTTTGGCATGCTTCAACACAGAGAAAGAACTAAAACCCACATGCTAGATAAATTCTACCCCACTTTAGAAAGGGTTGCTAAATTGGGTTTGGGTAATAGGACCCTTGTTGGGTTTTGTTACAATTGTTAACTTAGGCCGTGCTATAAAAAATAGCTCATATCTTAAATATCCCATGTTAAGCTCATCCAAAAAATAATAATCAGTAATACTAAAACTGCTAATTAAATGATAAAGCCCATATTATTTTTAAATATTCTCAGAAGATGCAGTCCATCTTAACTAATTTGTTAATTCAACAACTGATACGAAAGTTATAATAAATTCTACACAGATCTGTTCCTTACTAAAAAGAGGGAAACTAATAAACAGGAAGAAAACTATTGACAAAAATCTGCTCCAAAGACTCAATCCAACCATAAAGATAAGATTAAATTACGTGATTTCTTCTTCCATCTCTTTCGTCAATAAACCTAAAAGGGTTTGACAACGATGTCATCAAGGGCGTTCGTGAGGCGTTTGTGAGGCAAGCATCGAGGCAATAAAGTTTTGCATCATCCAATCACCAACAATAAAATAGAGTGTTCTCAAAGGCATTTGTGAGGCGAGCATCGAGGCAGGGCAAGCCGTCAACAAATCGTCTTAGGCATACTTTTTTCAGAGAAAGTCACAAAAAGCATAAGGCTGCGTAAGGCACAAGTTATTTTTCAGAGGCAGCATAAGGAACATGCTGTTTTCAGAGGCGGTGATGGGTATACTATGAAAAAGTTTTGAGATCCTCGAAAGGAAGGAGATTTAAAGAGATGTGGCAAAGATTGTTGTTTTCGCACTAAGTCTTCTCCTTTAATGAAAGGATGTGTTTCATATTTCCTGTGGTAGTTAGTGTACATGTCACAGCCCATGGTTTTACTTTTTTAGACATGGTATGTGGGCCTATTCCACTTTCCTTCAAACCAAGTGACATGCGGCCCAACAAGTATTTTTTACTCCTAAGAGACATAAAATAGTAAATTAAATAAGAGTGTAATACACTAATACTACGCAAAATAAGAGCTAATACTTAAAGATTAATAATAAATGTCAAAAGAAAATAATCACCAAATGTATAATGTACACTTACAAAGCTTGTATATTATTCTTTAAATTATAATCATAGATGTCTTGATAAGCTTACGACTCAAAGGCTTACGCCTAGCGAAACCATAAACATTTCACTTTTAAAACGTTGATAAAATGTGATATATGACAACTATGTAGTTTGTATTTTGAATAGAAGTTCATGTGGCAGTGCTAAGGTAAACCCTTTGTCCATGTGCGATATGAGGATCAAAGTGTTGAATCCCCTCTCCCTCCACAAAAATAATTGATAATTCATCAATGATTACCATCTCAGAGCATGCCATCCTACATGTCACTACTAAAACCGAAAGCCTCCAAATGATTACTACCAAAGGACTCCTTTTACTGAAATGTAGGGATCTTTTGTTATTCATCCAATACTTCTTACACTGATTGTTAAGATGGTGTCATGCCTGCGGAGAGTTACATGCAAAGTTGCCTTACGATAAGTACACGTGACCTTAAGGGTTTTAGAGCAGCTGGAGAAGGATCGAGATCAACAAAAGTTGTCGTTGTGATTGTTTTTCTTCCATTATAGAAGAGTCTAAAACAATCTAATTTTAAAAGCTATCCACAAATTTTAAACATGCCACAAACAAAGATACAACATCAAACAAATCAAAGCAGATTCAGCACAGATTCAACATAAACATCAGCCCACCGCCCACAATCAAGCATCAAATTCAATTAATTAGAAGTAGTAATAATCAGCGTAGCGTACAATCAAAATTCAAAGTTCAAACAGGTCAAACAGATAATAAACACTCTAATCACGAAACCAATCACACAGGAGACCAAATTTCAACAACAGATCAAGCAAAAGAAAGCAACAGTTACCTCAATCCTCAAAAGAAAAGCCCCGTAACCCACGGTGCAATCAAGACTGAGGAAGGAAAAAAAAATTGGTTGATATTAGCCTTCAATAAAAATTAAAAGGTATAATTTGTAAACCAAAAAATCAAAATCAAAATAAAAATCCGGTTTACCCTCTTACACTCAAAGATCGGCTTGCTAATCGCTTCAATTGCTTCCATTGCTTCACAGCCTTCAACAGTAATTTGTAAGACAAAAATAAAGTTAGGAAAAACCGATCGGGATCAAAATTAAGGATTTGGGGAAGATGAGGAGCAAAGCAGCGCAACTGAAAGAGAAAAGGAGAGAGAGGAGGTAGGGCAAAACCGTAAATTATTTACACAGTTGAAAGCTGAAGCCGGATGAAGAAAGACCGACTCTGAGTGATTCTGAAGGAGAAGACGAAGAGGAAACGGCGTCGTCGTGATGGAGGAATGGCCGCAGTGCGACGGTGCTAGGGTTTCGGATGGGCGAAGGGTAAAGACAGAGCAGGCGCTACTTTGACATGTAAAATGCGGATGAGAGGGGTTGCGTGGAGGGGATGAAGACCTAGAAGGTTCTGATCGGGTGTTGTCGGCGTACAATAAGAGTCACCCAGACTATGACACGTGCCATAGAAAATGAAAGTAATTCATTAATTATATAATAATATGCCGCTTCATGTCTGTTCAAATGTAAAAATCCCCTTTCAGGGGTCAAAAGCTTGGCCGCTAATTTCCCAAAAAACTGAACACAGAGAGAAGTGTTGAAAAATTGAATTCTTTTACAAATTAAATATTTTAATTGAATGAAAATGGTGTGTTGTGGGTTGTGCATGTTCATGAAGAATAGGTTGTATCTGTTGAAAGTGAAACGATACAACTTTTGTCTTTGAAGATGTGCAAGTTTTGACTATTCAAGAATAGACACAATTTTTTATGAAGAGTCACTTAGGGCCCGTGTGGTAACGTTTTCGGAGAGTGTTTTCTGAGAATATTTTCAGAGAATGAAAACAAGAAAACAAATTTGCATTTTCAGGAAATGAAAATGCGTCTGGTAGATTAATTAGAAAACATCTTCAGAAAACAAAAACAATGAAAATGTGTCTGGTAGTACAATTTGAAAATAATAATATGTGACTTATTTTCAATTGTATTTTTGCTAATTTCAGTTTTTTTAATTTAAAAAAAAATCTGCTATTTTTCAAAGACAACAATTTATAAACAATAAAAAAATGTATAATTTAACAAATAAAAAATTCTAATGTTTTTTTTAAGACAAACTATCTTATCTCATTTCTTTTTTCTCTTTCTCTTTCTTTCTTCCTTTCCTTCCTTCCCAGGCCCGTGCCCTTCTTTTTTCTTTTTTCCTTTTTTCTTCTTCTATTCCTTCCCAGACTTTCTTTTTTCTTTCTTCCTTTTTCTCTGTTTTCTCTTCTCTTCTTCTTCCTCTATATGATTCTTTCTCTTCTTCTTCCTCTCTTATTTTTTATTTTCTTCTTCCTCTCTCTGATTCTTCCTGTTCTTCTTCTCTCTTCATACCCATCCTCTCTCTGTTTTCATTTGTTAATGGTTGGTGGTGGTTCCATTGGGTGGTGATAGTGGTTCAACTGGGTTTGTGGCAGTTATGGTTCGATTGCTTTGGTGGTGATCGTGCTTTGGAGGTGCCGGTGCGGCAAACTAGACGATGGGTCTGGATCGGGGGAGATGGGTTTCCACAGTGGTGCTCCTCAGTTGTTTTTTTTTTTTTTTTTTTTTTTTTTTTTTTTTGGGTGCTGGTGATAAGTAAATCACGATCTCAGAGATTTTAGAAGAAGAAGAATAGCTATGGAGAATTTCAAAGACAAGAATCGATGTTGATTGGAGAAAGAGAGATGGAAAAAATGAATTATCGTATGGACTGAAAATGAAAACGTTGAAAACGAAAACAACATAATATCGTTTTCAACTTTTGTTCATGAATTGGATTTGTTTTTGGAAAATATTTTTAGGGAAAACAAAAACGTTCCACCGAACAGGTTTTTGCCAGAAAACAGGAAATGAAAACAGAAAACGGGCCGTGAAAACGATACCGAACGCGGCCTTATGTTGTATCAAAATTCCTCCCTATACGAATTAAATGAAGAACTTCACTCTACTTTAATTATTCTTCAAAAATTACTTGCAAAATAATAACAATCAATTGGATAAACACCGGTGTGATGTTAGCCAAAGGCTCTCCGATGCTTAGGTCAGAAAAATTATCTCTAAGGATATGTGTTTTTCATGAACATTGCAAGAGGATTTTCTCATAAATAGAGAATAATAATTGATTCTAAGATCAAGATTTGATTATTGATTACTCTTTTTGTGTATTATTCTTGGCTATAAATATGGGAAGTATCATCTAGCCATTCTTTGAATTATCAAAAGAGAATAATGAAGATTTAATTAACATAATTAATGTGACCAAGTGCAGTCTTGACCTTGATATTAATATCCACATGGCACCACCGGAGTGGTCATGAAATTATTTGCTCCCACAAATACCTCCAGCTTCTGCATGTCATGCGTGGTGCATGTAAGATATGAAAAAATTGAACTTGTTGTACTCTTTGAATTCCAATTATTGTTGAACTCCTCATAAAGAAATGATATTTGAATTCCAATAGTTGTTGGACTCCTCCTAAAAATTTTTGAATTCCAATTGTTGTTGGACTCCTCATAAAGAAGGGATGTGGTTTATCTCTTTGTTTCCTTCTTGATCAAGAATACTCAAGGGATTAAAACCCTAATCACTCCCCTTTTGCCTCACCCCTATTTATTTCTCCCTTATTTGAGTTGCTGCAAGGACAAGAAGCAAAGGGAGAGGCTATGCATGTTGAGGAGAGGTAAGAGAAAGAGAGAGAGAAAACCAATCACATTCCCCTTGTAAGTTGTGGTTTGATCGACATCTTTTTTTCATTCGTTTTTTTTTTTAAACTGAGACACATCAACAGTTTTTTTTTACTCTTGCCGTGAGTTGACTAGCGGGTGAGCGAGGTCTTCTCCTCCATGTTGGTATTTTTTACTTGATTTCAAACTATGATCGTCTTCTTTTTTTTATAGTTGCTTAGACACCATGTCGTTTGATGAAGGAAGTCAATCATCTAACTCACAAGCTCCTTTATATATGTTTGGTGGCTCTTATGCCTACATAAAAAGATTCATAGCCAACATGTACCACATCACTCATGAGGCACAATTTCAGAGATGGCGATCTCAGTTTTTTGCAGCTTTCCGTACTGGTGCGAATGTGAGCTTGGCTGAACCTTTATCCGAGGTTGCTGACCGTATTGAAGAAAAATGTGAACCTCCTAACATAATTTCACCACCTCTAATTAAATAATGGGGTTTTATTATTTTTGGTTCGACCCATTCGATACGTAGTGTCTCTTAATTGCAATTCCTTACTTCAAGGGAAATACCCTTTGATTTCATCATAAAGAAACATAACGTGTGAGTTTAGTTTTGCGGCTGCTCCTAAGTCGAACCTCAGGGTGCCTACGTATCCCTTTCAAGAATCAAGTCACTCATAGTTCAAAGAATTGCAATGAATAAACAACTCATTGTAAAAGGGGGAATTTAAATGAATTTGATTCAAAAAGTGTTTGAGTGAATTTAGCTGAATAAACCAAGGATTCGATTTTGAAATGTGTTTTGGGGGGAATTTGGTTAGGAATAAACCAGGGATTTTATATGGATTTGAGATTTTGGGGAATTTGGCTGATGTAACCAGTGATTCACATTTGGTTGCGATTGCGTCTATTGGAATGCTAGACTACCTATGTACCATTAATGGGATCAAACCGACATAGTTCCAAAATCTGAAAATTAATGGGTAAGTGTGGTCCAATAATTTAGAATTTGTGTCTTTGAGACAATTTGAAGATTTTCATAGCTAGATAACCCATGGGAAAAATTGGAAATTAATGGGTAAGTGTGGCCCACTAATTGAGAATTTGTTTTTGAGAAATTTGAATTTAATCTCATTGAAATTTGCATAGGTAGATGACCCATGGTAAAAATTGGAAATTAATGGGTAAGGATGACCCACTAATTGAGAATTTGTGTTTGAGAAATTTGAATTTAATCTTATTGAAATTTGCATGGGTAGATGACCCATGGTTAAAATTTGATGGTTTTGTAACATTTTTCTTATTGTCAACGTCCAAGAAAAATAATGAGCAATTTTGATTAACCTACTAATTTTCTACAATTGACATTTGCATTTGGACCCAAATATGGCTATGATGATTTTAAAATTGATCAATTAACCATATAATAGGCAATTTGGGCATCTGTAAATTTAATGGGTAATTATTTGGATCACCCATTAAATATTTTAGAACACCAGACTGACTATGGCTCCCTTCATACCACCAATTTTCCATTGCCTCATTGTCAGACTTTCTTGGAAAATATCCGAAATGTATGACTTTTCTCTTTGTAGGCCATAGTTTCTTCCATCAAAGTGCAACCCCATTAATTGAAAATTCGGCCTGGAGAATCAAAGAGGCACTTGCCTCCTCTTTTTCATTTGCTGCCTCTCTCTCTCTCTCTCTCTCTCTGTACAAACTTTCATTCAATATTTTGTCCCTTTTTTTTTGTCTTCCTTTTTTGTCTCTCTCTCTGGAAAAAGATTGATCAGTTCACAATTGTTTTGTACCCTTCTAGCTTATGATTTGGTTATGTTATTGAGTCAAACTTGTGCTTTTAATCCCTTTTCTGTTTATCATTCAGTTCATTGGGCCTTAGGTAGCAATGGTGCCTTTGGATAAGAAAAGATGCAAAATGGTGCAAAAACGAGCAGACTGAGTTAGCAACTCATTTCGGCCTTAACGTCTTTCTCCCAAACTTGGATTGGCCCAATAATATGTGGTTGGAAAGATGAGAGTCTGAACTTCAAAATGGACTTCTCCAATGTATCAATTGATTAAATCGACCCCAATCCATGGGCCCATCAAAATACACATCAAATCAACCACACATGGGAGACAAGACAGCATGGAAACTCAGAAGGATGGGCAGTTGACATTCCTAGAGGCATGGGCAGCTGACATTCCTAGAGGCATGGGCTACACATCAAATCAGCCACACATGGGAGACAAAGCAGCATGGGAACCTAATGGGCAGCTCAGGCAATGGGAACAGCCAGGAATAGGTGTGCTTCACCAGCCAAAGGGGAGCACGAATTTGCACTCTATAAATAGAGAGATGTACACTCATTCAAAGGGGAGTCACTCCATTCAGCTTAAAATACTTCAGCCATCCTCTAACACTCCCATCCTTCCCCAAACACTTCATTCAGTCCCAAATCACCAAAACAGCTCCAACAAGCCTTCCTTCCATTTCCCTACGAATTTCCTCTTTCTCTGCCATCACCACTCACCCAAACTCATCCCAAATCACCTCTTTAGTTGCCATACTCTAGATGTGAGGAAGCTCTTGGAGCAGCATTAGTTGGAGAAGCACTTGGAAAAGCCTTGGACACCACAAGTAACTTCAGAAATGGGTTTTTCCACTCTTATTGCATTCATTATGTTTTCTCATTTCTGTTTAAGTTTCATTTCCATTATGAGTAGCTAAATTCATAACTAGGACTTCGATGTAACCTAACATGAATATTCTGGGTTTATAAGTTGAAGTTTTGAGTTTCAAGTTTGATTCATGATTCATGTTCTTATTCATTATGCTTATCAGTTAATATGCTTGTTTGGATGATTGATCACCATTAGAACTTGTATATTAGCTATCTTGGTTTGAATCAAGAGTAGACACCATGCTTTGATTCGAATTGAACTATGAATAAGAAAAGTATGTATGGACATTCGACAACAGGGATTAGATACATGCTTGGTTGTTTAAATTGTTCTTCTATGCTTAATGAGTTCCTAATGCTTAATTTAGGTTAGACAACAAATGATCAAGTTAGGGAATTAGGAACACAAGGTTAGGACCAGACACCATGGCCTAATCATACTTTAGCTAGAATCAATCTTTGAATCTGAATTAGACTTGTCACTTGACTCCTTATAACCCAGAATTGAATTGTTATGGTGAATCGAATGCCCTAGTCTCCCAATCTGTTTTCCAGCCCACAAAAACACTCTTTGTTACATTTGCTCACTTTGCTTTTGTTTGAAATTTCGTTTTGCCTCATTTGTTCAACAATTACAATCACTCTTGCTTTAAATTCTATTTTAGACTTAACCTCCTACTTTCTTGAATTTGGTAATCTAAGTACATAACTAATTTTAACTTCTCAGTCCTCGTGGGTATGACCTCGTACTTGTCTTGCTATATTACTAATTGGCCCGTACAATTGCGAGTTAACATTTTAACAACAAAGATGAAGAAAATGATGCTCGAATGCACACAAATACACAACTTGCAGCTACTGCAACAACATTATGAACTCAAGAGTAAATACAGCAAGAAGGCCCATAAGGTGGCTCCATTGTTGGTTGCAGTAACAAACGCAGGGGATGAGCTCTTGGGCATCAAAAATTGATTATGAACTGCATCATCCCAAATCCTGTCTACACTCCTGAGGACTTCAAATGTCGATTCCGGATGAGGTGTCATGTTTTCTTTTGTTTGGTAAATGATAATCCAAATGTCAACCCCTACTTTAGATAGACAATTGATGTTGCTGGTAATCTAGGTTTCTCGTCCCACCAAAAGCTTACGAGTGCACTCCGAATGTTGGCATAGGCAAGCTTAGCAGATCAAATTGATGAATCCATGAGGATGTCTGAGTCAACATCTAATGAGAACCTTGGTGAATTTTGTCGTACAATTGTTCACACATACAGTACCTCTAACAACTAACACATGAGGACCTAAATAGGCTCCTTGAAATAGCGGAGAGGCGGAGCTTTCCTATAATGATAGGACCACTTGACTACATGCATTGGGTGTGGAAGAATTCTCCGATGGGATGGCAAGGGTTCTTTCAGTGGTAAATCAAAAAAACCAACCGTTGTTTTGGAAGCGATAACACCTTTTGACACATGGATCTGGCATGCTTTCTTTGGAATCCCGGGGGCCCAAAATGACATCACCATACTCGAGTGTTCACCTCTCTTCGAATCCCTCACGGAGGGTAACTTACCTCAACTAGACTACTACATCAACGGTCGTCTTTACAACATGGGGTATTACCTTGCTGATGGTATCTACCCAAAGTGGGCAACACTTGTCCAATCAATTAGACATCCTGAGAATGTGGCAGAGGAGTATTTTTCCACCAAGCAAGAGGTATACCGTAAGGATGTTGAAAGAGCTTTTGGGATTCTTCAAGCTCGATTTGCAATCGTTAGGCAACCGGCAAGAGGGTGAAGTCTAGCAAAACTTAACTCCATCATGTTTATGTGCATAATATTGCACAACATGATTGTGGAAGACAAACGGGATGACTACTACAACGGAGAGTCCGATGACGAAGATTCTGATCCAAATAGGTCAAGGAGAGACCGTGCATTGATATATGATGGAGCTGATTTTCCTCGGGATCTAAGAACAAGTAGAATCTCCATGGAATCATACATGAGTCGATATAGAGCAATATGTTGTCCTGTTGCAAACATTGGCTTACAAGAAGATCTTGTTGCGCATATCTGGAACATACGAGGGCAAGAACAATGATTGTGTGGCTTGTTTTTACTTTGAGTTGTGTGGCTTGTTTTTCTTTTAAGATGTGTGGCTTATTTTCATTTACATGGTGTGTTGTAATAAATTGAATTTATTATTACTTCTTTGTGTGGCTTGTGATTTGTAGGAATAAGATGTATAAAACAATGTGATAGAGCTGACAATATTAAATTTCTCATCATCAAAAGAGAAAAAGAAATATTCTGGAAAGCACAATAAACAACGTGATAGAGCTGACCAAAGATGTAAAGCCTATCATATACTAATAATAATCTCCACTTCTTTTTGCCTCCTGAATGAAGGACTAAACATGAAAAAGAAAACAACTTCACTGAATTTAACCAAACCAATCTTGAATACCTAAAGTGATAATTGTGATATTTTATAAATATACAAGCTTCCAATGGATCTTAAATATGGCACATGATGGTTAATCAAGCTTGGTATTTTTTCCAAAAGGAAAACAAATCACTAGATGAATGCATGCCAAGGATGACATGAATTCTTGGGCACGACTGCATCTAGTAAGAATTTGATTATTCTGCTTTTTAAAGTAGATAATATGCATAGATGACATAAAATAAAAAATTTCAGGAAACGGGTGTGTAGAACTATAATAATATAATAATATAAATACACCAACTACAACAACTACTTTAATATAAAGACTACGAATTGCTAATATAAAGACTACAAGCTACTTTAATATAAAGACTATAAACTACTAATATCAACTTAAATATTAAAAACACCAACTACTTTAATATAAAGACACAAACTACTAATATTAAATAGTAAAATCATCTTCATTTTGGAATGTTGGACGATAGTCATATGATGATGAACTAGTATTTGGAAACAACTCACGAGAACGATGTCGCTATCAAATTGCCCTCTTTTCCCCTCAAAAAATTCTTTAGAGTTTGGAGTCATGTCTGTCGTATTCCTAGCCATGTTCCTCTCATCCATCTCTTCTTGTCGTTGTTGATCCATTTGCTCATATCTCTTCCTATTATCTCTTCTGCCTTGGCGGTTTGTTCTGCAAGAGTTCGCAAGGCGGAAACAATTTCATCCCCGACGGCCTTGGCATCCCTTTCCTTGGCCCTTTGCTTCTCTTTTTTGCCTTGTTTCATCCTATTGTCCCAGGGATAGATGGTTGACTTGTCGACGGATCTTCTACATTGTGTGGTGATTGTTCATCATCCTCCTCCAGATTAAAGCTCACATTAATTCTTTGGCTAGATGGAGTACCATATATTTCCTCAGTGGATCATGAAAACCCACCCAATGTTGAACAATATCTCAACATTGATCAAATTTAAATGGTGAAGGTTTTTTCGGCAGTTTTGATTGCTCGATGCCATAGGTTGGAGCTCGGATAGATGTACTTCTTTCATCAGCTAGCATAACTCTCATGGTTTCTGAAAATTGAAGGATTGATGATGCCTTCCATAGACTCTGTGTATTTTTGTGAGATACATTCCCAAAGCCCAGTGTTTTTTTGGTTAGTACCCACAACGCTATCTTCGGAGACTTTTATGAAAGCCTTGCAAAGATGTTCATCTTCCACCCATTTTGTCCCTTCAAAGTTCGGGACATTTTTCAAACAAGAAAGAGTGTGGAGAGTATTTGACAACAAGAAAGAGTGTAAAGAAAATAAATTTGTAGGAAATAAGTATGCAAAATAGTTGACAACAAGAAAGAATGTGGAAAGTTGTGAATAAGTAGAGAATGTGATAGAATTTGTAAGAAATGTGGAATGAAATGAGTGGGAGAGGTATTTATAGATAAATTGTAGGTTTTTAAATTTAAAATAATAATAATAATAATAAAGCCAACAAAGGCAATTTAAAAAATATATAAATAAATAAAAAAGAGGAAGGGTTTCAAGGGTCTGACCTCCAACAGTCATGACCCAGAATTTTTTATTTAATTTTTTATAATTTTTTTTAACAACACCAAACATTTAAAAATGTGAAGATATTCAAAAAAAAAAAAAAGGATGGGTATCAATGTTTGAGCTCCAACGGTCATGAACAAGAATTTTTTATAATTTTTTTAAACAACACTTGAAAAGATTTGAAAAGCTGACCACATTTATTATTATTATTATATTTAAAAGTAGTGGGTAGGTATGACCTCCAACGGTCATTACCAACAATTTTTTATACTTTTTTCTTAAACATTACGAATTGAAACATTCAAAAAGGCTTTCAAAAATATATATATATATATATATATATATCCAACATGCTTTAATGTTGATTGTTGAAAAGCACATGCATGGGTTCCACTACAAATTTGGCCTCGGCCAAAGCTGGGATACATGTGGCTTGGTTGGAAGGCTAAAGGGCCAAATTTGGCCAAAATTTTGTTTAGCCCATGACTGAAGATGGGTTTTGTAGCCCATGGCTGGAGATGGCCTTATAGGCGCTGTAAGCTCCTTCTTCCCAAGAACACTTGTTGGTTCTCTCCAATTTTACCAAGTCTTCCCCTCCATTTCTCTTCTATTTCTTTGATTCAACATCTTTTTATGAAATCTCCCCAATTCAAATACACATATACAATATTTTTGGGAGCTCTAGAGTTTTCCCGCAGCTATCCCTATGGCAATCTTCTATCTTTGTCTACAATCTCTCATTCTTTCATCCCTTATTTCATGGCAAGAGTTGGTGGGAGAAAGAAGTGGGTAATAGTGTTGGTATGAAGGGTGTTTTGCTCAAGTATCCCTTGGTTTTTCGGATGACCTGTGTTGGGTTTGTCTTTAGCCATGTGCTGGAGACTCCCAATAGCCTGCACACGCAAACACCTTTTGGTTTTTCAGGTGGTCTAGCGTGGTTTTGTCTCTAGCCATGTGCTGGAGACTTTCAAATATTTTCTAAGTCACTTGGGCCATTCCCTAAGGTGATGGGCTAGTTTACTAAGGGAATGGACCAACTTTCTAAAGTGATAGACTATTTTTACTAAGGTGGTGGACCAATTTTTTAAGATAATGGGCTACTTTTTTCTCTCTTTCATGCTTACCCACATATTTGAACTCAAGAAATGGGCTCGAGTTTTATGGCTCCCAAGCAGCCCAAAACTTCCACTTCTTGACTCATTAATGGGCTTCATGAATGCTCGTAACTCCATACCACAACCCGCTCAGCAAGTCCCAGAAATTGTGTGCCTTGGGCCCATTTAAGCTTATAGCGTGGTTAGGTGTAAAATAAAAGGTTTTTCGCTTGGCATAGCATGTCGACTAGCATGCTCGTGCTCGAATTTCATCGTATTGTAAAGGGCTATGGTCGAGTAGAAACAACGCTTAGTGGGATAATTAGCATGGGTTCATAAAGCCGACGCATTTTATAGATTTGTTTCAACTCTTAGCATGTGTTTCCCTTTTTTCGGTTGAGGCAGCCAACATAAGGAACTTTTGGTCCTTCTTCTTTTGAGTGCGAGTGTGCCACCACCAAACCCCGAATTTGGGCTTGAATAGAATGTGAGTAGATTGGTGTGTTGCGCTTCTAACTTCTAATCAAACGATTGATTGGTCAAGTAAGGAACCTCCTCTTGGCCTAGGTTCTTTCACTTCCTCGGGCTCGAGGATGGTTAGGCTTCGTACGGATGTTTTTGTGATTTTTAGGGTTTTAAGTAAAAATAAAGCAATTAAACTAAATGTGCGTTTAAACGTAAAGATAAGAATTATAGTGCGACAAAATAAATCAAAGCGATAAGTAAAGCAAAAACGAAATCAAAACGATAAGAACGATAAGAGCAATAAACTAAAATAAAGTTGAAATTAAACTTAATAAAAGTACGATAACAATGAAATGTAAAGAAATTGAAATAAACTTGAATTTAAATGAGAAGAAATATAAATTGCAAGAATTTAAACTTAGACTAAGGAAAGGAAGAACTTGCTACACTAGGTGCTCGAAAAGTAAAATCCTAAGTCTAGGAAAAGAAAAGTGCGAGACGAAAAGTAGGTTTGTCTGTCTGATGTTGTGTGTATTCTATCTTCGTTTGGTGAAGTTTATATAGGGCATTCATCAGCCCATGGGCTGGCCATTAAATGGTCAAATGTCAACTCTTTTTAAAAATCTTTCTTTTCGAAGCCCCCTAAATTCGTGGGATTGTATTGATTAAAATATTTTGACATGCTTGATTCTTTCTTGCTTTTGAACATTCGGAATTATTACTAACCTCCTCGATTTCCTTCATTCCTCTGGAAATCCTGGGCTTGAATTGGTAGCTTGGGCTTGGTCCTCGAAGCTCTCTTAAAAGGCCAACCATTTATATATAATAATAAATTTTCATATTTCAATTGCCCAAAATCCTTCCAAATCAGCCCCATCAGACACCCCCGAACCCATATTTGTGTTTATAATATATATATATATATATATATATATACACACACATATAAGTAAACCCTCCAGTCGTATACTTGCAAAGGTTCTACAGCTCCAACTCCCAAAATCCGGCCGCAAAGAGCCCCACTCTTGGCTGCTAAATTTCAACAACCCATTCTCCTTCGAGCTTCTAGCCATATTCAAACAAAGCCCAGCCCATTCTTGCAAAAGCCCTAAAGCCTAACCTTCAAGAATGCCCAAGCTCCAGCCGCATAAACCTAGCAGCACTCGACTACTCCAAACCTTCGAAAACCCGGCCGTACCTCCTTCGAACACCAAGCCATGTTTGACCACAACCCGACCACTTTCTCCAGCTTACTCAATTGCTATACCCTAATAGACCCGACAACTCTAGACGCAGCCCAACTACGTTCGACCACGCCCAACTATCTCGCAAGCCCTGGATTTCCCCGACGAACCCCGGCCGCATTCTCCAAGCATCAGAATCCGGCCGCAATCCTTCAAACCGGTCGTGCCCAGCCGTATCTCACATCCCAGCTCCTCCGGCCGTGCCCAGCTATCAAACCTAGCCGAATCTTCTAGCCACGCCTCAACCGAGTCTTTAGCTCTAGCTCGGCCTTGCCTTCCAACCATATCCCGATCGAATCTGTGCCAATATAAATTCGGCCTTAGATTATGCCAATCCAAATCCAGTTGCTTGCATTTTCGGAAGCTGCCCAACTGATCTTTTGAGCTTCCAGCCATTGCCCAACCATTAAGGTTCTAGCCACTCTCGAACTTCTATCCGGCCACTTGCATTTGGAAGCTGCCCAGCTTGGGTGAATTCACCACCCCCAAACAACGTGACATGTTACATATTTGCTCGGCGTGGCACGTGGATCGTAACTCATGCGAGCGTGTATGATGAACTTTCGCGTGCCCAAATCGGGTTTCTTCTCAGCAAGGTATTGCACTGGGCCTGGAATATACTTGGATTTTTTGGGCCTCAACAATTTCTTTATGTTTTTGTTTCATAGCAGTGTACTCAAAGAAATTAGTGGGCTTTTGTTTTTTTTGTTTTTTTTGTTTTTTTTAATCAGAGAGGGAGAGAGTTGATCAGAATCTCCAAAGGCAAAAGTATAACTTTTTTATCTTTTATATCCACCAATTTGAAACACAACAGATATCCCAAAATTATGGGAACCCATGTTCGCTTGCATTTATCATTTATTTTATTTATTTATTTTAAAAATGATACAATTTATTTTGTCGAATTTTTTATCTCAACAGTTGCCCCCTCAAACTAATGTCTTTACGCGTGTGGAGCTTGAGAAGCTTTTGTCTCAGAGCTATGGAAGCACAAAACAACATTGACAAAGAGTACTTTTCTTCATTAGAAATGCCATATAGTAAACACCCCAATTCATCTTTAGTTGGGATAAGCACTTCTTTCTCTTGCTCTGAGATCTCATCAAACCGAGACTCGTGCAGTGCACTATGGAGGTAAGTATAGTTGGTAGAGTCTCATTTCTGATTGAGAATGAAAAGGATGAGGCTTTACAATCAAATTCCAAGCCTTGGAATTTTAAGACCAAAGAGGATGTTGTGGTACTCATGATAAGAATATGAAGAAGAGAGACAGAAAGGGAAGTGAGAATCTTAAGACAGAAGAATTATTGAGAAGGTAAAAGGAATAATTAAAAAAATTTAAATGGGAAAAAACGGCTAAAAGGGTGGATGTTGGCGGGCAATGATAGACCTATTAAGGCGCAATAAGGTGCCCTCACCGAAAAAATCATTGTAAGTGCTTCAACTTGCTCATTTGCTTAGCTGGTGGCTGTGCACAGATTATCTTATTTCCATTTTCAGCATTTAAATAAATGTCTTTGTTCTTTTACTTTCATTTATTTTTATATTACTCCATTAACTTAAGTTTACAATGTAAATAAGGAAGTACCCCCATTTGTATTCAAATAAAAATACTAGAAAATCAAATTCCCACCAAGTCAAAATATGAAAAATTGGTTTTAGTGCAAAATAAGTCAATATATACTTCATAATAAAATCTCATAAAATCAAGTTTTCTTATTTGATGTGTAAAGAATAAAAACTGCGAAAAACTTTCTGGAAAAAATGATTATTTTGAAAAACCATATTTCATAATTAGTTAATATTTTTGCATAAAACAATTTTTCATGTATGATATGAATGCATGAAAGGAATTAAGGTCAATCTAGGTAAAAAAACTTTAGATGTTCAATCCACAAAGAGTTTTTAGTCTTTCAAAATTGAACATATGCTAAAAAATTTCTGGATCTGCAAGTGCTAGTAGGTGAAGTGTGGTGAAGGTGGGGTGAGCTGTTTGGGAGGGGCGAGAGAGACAGAGAGCGGAAGAGGAAGGTGGATCAAAGGTGGGGCTGCATAGGTGGGATTTTTTTTATAAAAAAGTTCTTTTTTTAATTTCATAAAATTACGAATTTACCCTTAATTTGGACGGAAATTTGGATGAAATTTGAAAAAATTAATAGTAGGCCCATTGGCTATTTTTACAACGTTTGGGTCCTTAATTTATTGAAAAATTGCTTAGGGGTAAATTAACAATAATGAAATAGTTCAGGGGGCAAAACCGCACAAAACTCAAATTTTAATGCAATAGAGGAAATCGGGTCGGGTGCAGCCCGCTCGACCCATAAACAGAAACTAACGCGCCTAATAAAAGAGAAACCCTAGTAGGCACTTTTCCATCTCTTCAGCTGCCGCACTCTATTTGCTCCCTGCGCCTCCTCTCTACTTCCTCATTCTTAACCTTCGCTGTTCGGCACTGTAAGTAATGTTTTAGGTTTTGTTTTTCATCTCATGGTTTTCTTCCATTGCAGCTACTCTAAAATGTTAAACGATTTGGAATATTTAGTGCCTGATTTGTTTTCTTGTTTTAGTCCACGGTCGATTCGAATTTGTTAACTCTGTTTGATTATGGCCCAAAATGGCACTGTAAAAGGGAATTGATTGTGATTTGTGTGTGTATGTGGGTAAGATAGTTGAACATGTTCATGGCGTTTTATGTAGTATAAATATTTATGTGAAAAAGCTGGAAGCACAAGTTAAAGGAAATTGAATTATTGACTTTGTATGAGGAATTTTGTGTGGTAATTTTGCTTTATTTTAATCATGAGAGTAAAATAATTTTGGGTTCGAGGAATTAGGTTTAGGGTGTTGAAATCGAGTTTTGGATCTGAAGTGTTATATGTTGTTTATGGTCGTTGATAGTGGGGTTTTCTTATCTGCTATTGTGATCTTTTTCAGTTTGCCAGGTACTCTAACCTGCTATGCTGCTTGGTTTTTATTAGGTTTGGTTTGGTTTTGTTTAAGATTTAGTTAAATCTACAAGTCCATTTTTGTTTTGCTTTTATTTTTTTAGTTTCTTTGTTTTATTTTGTTTATTAGCATCTTAGTTAAAAAGCTTGGTTCTATGGGTTACATCAATATCATATTCTCTGAGCGTGAAATGGATGAGAGTAGTTTTGTATTGTTTGCTTATCATTGCAGAAAGAGCTAGTTCTGCAAAATGGGTCGTGTTCGTACCAAGACTGTGAAGAAGTCCTCACGCCAGGTGATCGAGAGGTACTACTCAAAGATGACCTTGGACTTCCACACAAACAAGAAGATCTTGGAAGAGGTTGCAATCATCCCCTCAAAACGTCTCCGGAACAAGATTGCTGGGTTCTCCACTCACCTGATGAAGCGGATTCAAAAGGGTCCAGTCAGGGGTATCTCACTGAAACTGCAGGAAGAAGAGCGTGAGCGTCGCATGGACTATGTACCTGACCAATCTGCTATCAGGACTGAAGAAATCAAGGTCGATAAGGAGACCCTTGACATGCTTGCTGCTCTTGGCATGGCTGATCTTCCTGGGGTATCTGAAGCTGAGCCACAGGTTATGATCCCTAGCCAAGGTTATGGACGGGGTCCACAGGGTGGAAGGAGGTTCTAAGGCAATGGAAGCTTTGTGTTGTTTTGAGAATCTGGAATTTAAATTTGCATTTGGTAGTAGTGATATGGCAAACGTGGATCTAATTTTTGTATTTTAATTGAATATTCGCTTGACATTGAGTTTGGAAAATGGTACTTTTGTTTATTAAATGGAGTTAGCATGCTTGCGTTTATGCAAATATTGTTGGTAGACCTCATATGTGGATGCGCATTTGATATTGTTTTTGTTGCAGTATTTTTCTTATTCTGAAGTGATCAGTTTAAGCTATGGAGACATTTATATGAGGCCCCAAAGGTGTTTGTTGTATTATTTACAAAATAATCAAGAGCAATCTCCCACTATTTATTATTTGAGAGACAAATTGAAAATTATTTAGACATCTAGTCATGACGAACAAAATAGGTCAATAAAGGTTTTTTAAAATATAAAAGCAACTCTAAAATGGGCAATAATATTTGATTTTTTTTTTTTTTTTTTTTTTTTTTAGTAAGTAATTGTAATTCTATACAATCAATCCCCAACATAGAGAGGACAAATACAATTACATTATTGTTTGATATATATATATATATATTTATTTATTTATTACATAAAAATGAAGGGATGCAACTCGAGATAATATAATTTTATTTCTTAAATTGTTGACAAATAATAAAAAAGAACAATTAGTATATAGTCAACAAAACACAAGACAAGAGGGAACAAAATAAATCATGCCTTTTTATTATTAGGACTTTATCAAGATAGATTTACACTTTAATAGGTGAATACCATATTAATTTGGCTTTTTATAGCAAAATGTCTCTCATGTTAACGAAACTATCAAATTGCGTCTTTTTTTTCTTTTCTTTTTTTGTCATTCGTGGTCCTTAAGGTTAATGTGAGTGCTCACAAATAGTCTTTGCTGTCATCTTCCATCCAAAACTCTGTTAAATTGCTGACGCTGCGTACATATGGGACTCACACATCCAACGGTATCACTCCACGTGGATTAATTTAGAATAATATTTTAAAAAATATTTATAACTTGTAAACCATAAAAAAAAATATATAAAAAAATTGAAAACAAATCTCTTAATATTCCACCACCATATTTTTCTCTATTTTCCCCATCTCTCTTCAATCCATCCATTATTTTCAATTTTTCTCATCTATCTTTTCTCATATCATATTGTAACCCTAAGAATCAATCTCGCTCACAAATTGTCTTTGAGATTGATGGTGACCGAGAGGAGAAAAGTATGAGAATTTGAAAAAGGTAATCAGATTTATAAATTTGTCTTTATATTTGTTCATATCTAGCAAACTATTTTTTCAATTTCCAATAGGAACAAAACACGGAGTGGTAATCAGATTTATGAATTCTTGATAGAATTGCATGTATCTTATCATTACTGATGTACATAAATCAGGTGGAGGTACGGAGTGAAGTTTCTCAAATTTTATTGATTATGTAAAATCTGTAGATTGCTTTCCAAATATCTCAGTTGCTTATAGAATTATATTGATTGTGCCAATGACTATGGTTGCTGGAACAAACTTTTTCCTTTCGATTTATTCACGCGCCTCTATTATCATGCATACTACCTTTTTTATTCGAGTAAACTACCAAATACCCCCTAAACTATCACGCTTGTCGAGATCTTCACCATGAATGATTTTTTCAGCTAATTTAGCCCTCATACTATTTTAAATGGTCAATGTAACACATGTTAAGGTTTTAGACTTCCATCCAATTTTCTGTTATTTATAAGGGTAAGTTGTCATTTTATAAGGACAATACCAAAAAATAATAAAGAAAATGTAAAATCATGATTTCTTCTCTCTTTCTTTCTTTGTTCTTTTCCCTTTTCCGTCTCCTTCCTTTCTCTCTTTTCTTTCTTCTCTCCCCGTCTATCTCTCAACATCTGCCTCTCTCTCTCTCTCTCTATCATTTTTCCTTCTTATTCTTCTCTCCCTCTCACTTTCTTTCAAGAATCCGATTCAAAGTAGGCGTTGTCTTCTTCCCCAAGTGCACAATGCCTTCTCTACAACCCATATTCTGATATCCTAGTGCACCCGCCCCAGATTCAATAACATCATCCAGTTTGATCTGAAGAATTTCGTCCCATTCCTGAACCATTGTCCACTGCACCTCCAACCAAACCCAAAATGTGTTGGACACAAGAACTTCATGAAGCCTTTGTGGAAGTTGTGAACCAGCTTGATGGTAGTGAACGTAGGTAACACATGCTACCATGTTTTTTTTTCGGTCATCATGTTATAGTTCTTTATTTCCATGGGTACGAGAAGTGACAGCTGTTCACCCGTTTGGTTTTTACTCCTGTGAAGGAAGAGCAAAGTTCCCCATTGCCTTGAAAACCATCGAATGGTCAACAAGTCAACTTTCTTTGGTGTGCGAGTGTGCCACTGCTAGCAATAAAAATCCTAGCAGGCTTCTTTAAAACAGATAACTTGGGCCCCAAGTTACTGATTTCTAAACAAGCGATTGTGAATTTGGGTGAGGAATATCTCACAAGTAAGTTTTTTTCTTACCTCAGACTGGCGAGGACTTTCACAATTTACCTCAGAAATTGGCGGTTCTGGCCAGAATAATTGATAAGAAATTGGACTGCTTTAGGCAGAACTACCTTTTACAAAACTTAGAAAGAAAAAATCAACTCTAGAAAGACAAAAAGAAGGTTGGAATTCCATTTCTGTCTGGATAGAAGCTTCTGATCCGGGTTGGATTGAGTATGTCTTTGCTGGACTGAGCTGTCAGCAACTTCAACTGCTAAGCTTCGGCTGTAAATTGATGCCAAAAAATGATTTTGGCAGAGCTTTAATCTATTTCAAGCCCTGGAAGGCTTTTTGAACGGGCAGAACTGCAACTTCTTCAGTTTGAACGGGGCAGAAATGGCTGGACTTGAGGATTACTGAGCCGGAATTGCACTATTGTACATGTTCTGCTTGGTCAGGACTCTCCATAAATTTGTTGAGGTTTTCATATTTGTGAAAACTCAAACTCTGCTTGTCTTGGCTTTTGCTGAACCAAATTTGTAACGAGAGGAATCTTGTTTTGAATGACTTACTTCTCTAGGTCTGAACTTTGGAAGTTCTGATTTATAGCTGGCTTTTTCTGTGGCTTGAATGAGCTTTTGGTTGCTTCAGTTTGTTTTGAAGGTTCTCAGTGATCAAGTGATCATTTTGAGTTTTTGCCTTTGGTTGGTTTTTGATTGTTTGATTGATTGATGAGTTGTCTGTGTTTGCTTTGTTCACCCTCTCTTTATATTTATAAGAAATGCTTTGGAGCAGGGTTTCTTTCTTTTAATAATGGGCGGCAAAATTCTCAAAAGATCTTTCATTTTTAAATGCAAAGAAAGGAGAGTTTTATCAATTTCTGGCAGATAAGCTTTCAACAATCAGTTCTTATGGCCATTACTTCCCTGTATTTTGAAAGAGAACCTAACCCCTTTCTAATCCCAACTGCCCCTTGTGAGAGCTCAACTGTGATGGTTAGTTTGATTTTCTAGTTTGAACAACTCCCTGTCTTCCTGCTTATCTCATTTTGAGAACATAGTCTGCTTATCTCTTGGAAAGATCACATTCTTTAGAGAAGAAACAATATTTATAAATATACAAAAGGGATTTTGATCTTATGGTGGCAGAGATTCAGAGAAGTCTTGTTGCTATTGACATGCTTTTAATTAATTCCCAATCAGAGAAGAGATAGTTGATTTTGCTGACTTTTCTAAGTCAGAGAACATCACGTGGGTCTGTTCCTTTTTTGGGTCTCTTCTTTTTAATTATGCCAAGCCCAGTTTTGAGTTGAGCCATGGGTTGATTCTCTTTCTTTTTCTTCTTTTCCGAAGCCCAAGTTCGTTGTTGTTGGTTTTGACAAATCATGGGGTGGGCTCGTTGGATTTTGGGCTCTTCAATGTTGGTCTGGGTGCGCATCCTTGGCTCAATTTCAAAAGAATGCTGGTGGCTGCCCAAAGTTAGCATGGGCTTTTATTTTCTTTGGGCTGCGTGTGCCAAATTAGGCCCAAACAACTGCTTCTTTTGTCATTGGCTAATAACTAACAAACAGGAGCTACTCCTAAGGGTATTCACTCGAAAACCCTTGTGGATGTGGGATTGCGATAAGAGAGTCTTAGGAGGAAGGGGCTAGGGAAGACGTCGATTGCCTCCCCCCCCTCCCCCTTTTTTTTCCTCAGTTTTGTAGTTTTAACAATTTAATTATTTTAAACTTAAAAAAATTAAATTTTAATTGAACAGTGAGTCTAATTGAACAATGAGTCACATGCCTAACATGTGACATTTAGACAGAAAATTGGATGAAATTGCATGAAAACTAACGATAGAGGCTAAATTGACCATTTAAAATAATATAAGGGCTAAATTGGCAGAAAAAATAATTTATGGTGGAGATTTCGATAGTTGATAGAGTTCATGGGGTATTTGGTAGTTTACCCTTTTTATTCACTCTCTACGCGCTACCTAAAATCATTTTATTTGTTTGTTTTTTGGCTATTGTATACTAAGGAATGGGCTCATTTAGTTTATTGCCTAGGCCACCAAAAGTCAGGTTGGCCTTGCTATACACCCAACCCAATCGCAACCTTACCTTCATTGCACACCAACCCCCACCCGCAACCACCACTACATAGGTCCTCCACCCTCTCTCTTTGTCCTCATGCTCTCCATGGCCCTCTCTTTCTTCTCTCCCAGATAACGCATGCCATTTTTATATCAACAAGTCGTTGCAAAAAAAAAAAAAAAAAAAAAAAAAAAAAAATTTATATAAAGTATTCCTCTCGACTCTCGGACTTCTTATGTGGACCACACCATCAGCAACGTGGAGGATCTCAAATTGGCGGCGCCAGTGTTGTACATGAAAGGCTTCACCAGGTTTTACAAGTTCTCCGAGCGGCGTCGGAGGATTCGATAGAATTTTTGATGTGTCTTTAAATTGCTTGATTTTAAAATTACTGGCATAAGCAAATGACACACTAGTATAGTAGTTTAGAGCAATTGCTCCCTAAATCAAGGTAATCAAAGTCCTAAGATCTAGTTAAAATATCCATATAATTAGTATGAGTTTAATATTGTATTGCCCCTCAATAATGAAGTTCCTATTTTATTTTTTTAAAATTACTGGCAAGTGAATGTGACTTTTTACCCTGTGTCTGTATTGAGCGCTACACTTGGCTCCCAAAAGAAACATGGCCTTAAACACCAAACATTCGAAAAATGCACTTCCAGTTGATAGTCCTAGGCAGATAATGGAATTCTCACTCAGCACCCCACACTATCTCAACACCACCACTCCCTTCTCCACCCTCATCCACAACCAGAAACACCACTCCTCCTTCTCCTCCTCCTCCTCCTCCGCCACCACTTCTCTCTCTTTCTCTCTCAAACCAACGCCTCCTCCACTGCCAAATTCTGAAAACCCCACCAGCTCCTCCCCTCCCTCCAACCAAATTCGCCGCCCCAAAACCCTCAAAACCACTCCTTCCCCCTCCAAACCCACCTCCAAAATTCCCTCTAACCCCTTTAGGAACCTCATTAATCCCACCCATGTCCCTACCCCACCAATTAAGTCCACCACCAACACCAATTATCACCCCTTCACTGACAAGCTCTGGCTCACCAGCAAGCTCTCTCCCCCACCTCCACCTCCACCACCCCAAAAGGAAATCCTGAAGAAAATCGAAAACCCATCAAGGACAATGCCCCCCAGAAGAATTCGGATTTGCCCAAAATTAAGTTCCAGCAAGAGGGTAAAATCTTTGTGGGGAATTTGCCCAACTGGGTCAAGAAAAATGAGGTTTTCGACTTCTTCCGGCAATTCGGGCCCATAAAGAATGTGATTCTGATTAAGGGTCATGACAGTACTGAGAGAAATGCAGGTTTCGGGTTTGTTATTTATGGGGGTTCGACTGCTGCTAAGTCTGCCATGAAGGCGGTCGAGTTCGATGGCGTGGAGTTCCATGGGAGGGTTCTGACTGTTAAATTGGATGATGGGAGGAGATTGAAGGAAAAAACTGAGAGAGGACGCGGTGGATTGAAGGCAACGACGGGGTTGAGTATCGTTCTAACTGGCACAAAGAGCGGGACAGCTCGCGCAAGGAATTGCGCAAGATTATGGATACTGAGCCGGAGAACTGGCAGGCCGTCGTTGGGTTTTTTGAGAGAATTAAGAAGGTAGAAGATCAGTAACACTCTTATTAATTTATGTGCATTTCACATTCACCACATGTCAACATCCTAATCCATGACTTGTTTTGATATTTATAGCAGTTTAATTTGTGCTGTATGCTATTGAGTTATGAGGTATCAGATGTTCCTTGAAGTATATTGTTCCAACTATTAAAGATTGGAACAAGGAATCAGTCATAATGCCTGCCCATAAAGTTGAATCCAAATATTAATAATAGTAAGAGGGTCTTCTAGAGTTTACTTTATACAATGACTTGTACTTGTCCAAATCACAATCTTTTTCAATTGCGAGAACTAATACAATACCCACCACACACACGTTTTGTACATTTATATATATCTGTGCTCTCTGTGGAGCTTATTCTATGAATGGTTGCTTTTAATTTGAGCAAAAGTATACCGTCTTTGATTCAGTGTTGTGTACATAACACAAATGTTTGCTTGTATGTTTTTTCTTCTTTGTATCAGCCTTCTAGAGGAGAATATGGCCTGATGGTGAAGTATTATGCAAGGCGAGGGGACATGCATCGTGCTCGTGAAACTTTTGAGAGCATGCGAGCTAGAGGAATAGAGCCAACGTCGCATTTGTACACAAGGTAAAACTTTTTGTGTAATGTTTAGAATTTAAGCCTTCAGTAATAGCTTTTATGGGGACAATTTTGATTTTGGGTTAAACACATTTTCGATCCTCTAAATTGTGGGCAAGTATCAGCAACTCTTGATTTCTAATTTCAGGAATAAAGCACCTCTTTCTCTTTTTTTTTAAAAAATGTAACAAGGAAGTTCAATGAAAAACTTTAACTGATTAAGTTAATTGAATTCAACGATATGGCACTCAAGTCTCAAAATTGGATTTTAATTGGTAATTGCTGATGCTAGAAATTCTTGAGTATACTCCAGGAACTTTGATAAGGACTCATGATATTGATATCCCTTCCTATGTGAATTAGGGGCTTAGAGTTGAGTTAAAATTTAATTAAAGTGTAATTAGTACACTTGGTCACAATTAATTTAGATAAAGTTTCTTGCTATTTAATTAAAGGATTCGTATAGTTGACACCCTCGTTTTATGAATAAAGGCTTTGTTGATTTGTGCTGGACTTTATTCTGACCAGTAGAGTGATTAATGAGACATAGTTGCTTGGAGTAGAAGTTTAGGGACTTTATTGAATCTTACATCCATTTACAAGGTAGTAAGATTGTTAAAGCTATGGCCTTTGTTTCAGCCTATCTTTTGGTGATTATTCTAGCTTATGGCCTTTATGTAAGTTGCAATGTACATTTTTTTTTATGTAACATCTTCAGAGAAAATTACTGTCAAATCGCACTACCATTGGCTGTTGTAGCTACAGTACTTCCTCTCAACGTTTAATAAGAGGGATGCCATAGGGGTTTGTTGAAATTATATCCCACATTGGAAATTGAAACCCTTGCCTTACAATGGGTAATGTCCTGGGCCTCTCCACCCATTGCCAATTGGTTTTGAGTTGGATGCTCTAATTCTATCACGGTATCAAAACATACAATCCATGTGTTAGGCCCAATGACCACATGTGTTCCCATGTCATCCAAATATGAGTTGTCCACGTGTTTGACTTAAGTCATGACTCATGCACTATGGAAGTGGGTGTGCTTAGAATTGGGATGGGTACCCAATGGGTGTTAGAGGTGGTGATGGTGGTGGTGGTGATGGTGATAGGTACCCATTGGGTGCCCATTGCCCATTCCTAGGCATGTTCAGAATATATCCCACATCAAGAATGTAAAAGTCTTGCCTTACAATATATAAAGTCCCAAGTCTCAATTGTATTGCCAATGGGTTTTGGGTTTGGATGCTCTAATGTATCAAGGTTCAATCTCTAATACATCCCTTGTCGTGTAGCTTACAAAAGTCAAATAATCATACTATGAATTTCATCGTAGTTTGAATTGTAATAATAATATGTCTAATTATAGATATATTTTGTGAGAGCATGTACTTTTAGAGTTTTGAATTTCCTGTTTTCAATATTAAAAGTTTGTATTACGTGCAGCCTTATTCATGCTTATGCAGTTGGCAGAGACATGGAAGAAGCATTGTCATGTGTTAGAAAAATGAAGGAAGAGGGTATTGAAATGAGTTTGGTGACTTACAGTATAATGGTTGGGGGATTTGCGAAAGTTGGCAATGCCGAGTAAGTAAGCACATACATTTCTAGTTTAGTGTATCCGAAGAATTATAGTTGTAGGATATTTTATTTGGAAAGTGCTATTTTTTATTTTGTAGAACTATGGGGTATGCACATCAAGTAATGCATATATATGGGCTTGCAATTAATATTTTTCTCCTTTAATTAGTAGAAATGTATGACCTTTATTTTAATTTTCAATTTGTGACACCTGTCATGTAGCCATTAGTCAAGTTATTATAGAAAATTAATAAAAAAGAGGAAAAAGAATCTCATCCAAGGAAACTTTTCATCTTTTATGTACCTTTTGCCTGAGCTCTTGTTGATGCACTGAATGCAGTAAGGTCTCCAAGTTGTACAGATGTAATGTTCCTTATAAAATCAAGGACAGTAAGCTGCTGATTAACAATTGCATAACTAGTGACCTTAATTGACGCAATTGCCTTTTGCACTTGCTGCATGTTTCCGTCTTGCATCAAAGGTGCAAGTCACCAAACTAGACATTCGAGTTTTGTTTTATTCCAAGTGATAACTTGTAATTGATTCTATAACTTTAACATAGCAATTCTTGTGTATCCTTAATTTAATGTTACATGATGTTTGGAAGAGCTGCAGATCACTGGTTTAAGGAGGCCAAAGAGAGACATACAGCATTGAATTCAATCATTTACGGGAATATTATATATGCTTATTGGTGAGTGTTCCAAATTCATTCTGTTGTCCCTTTCACTTTGGCATCATTGTATATTTATTGGTCATTATGTATCCATAAATTATGAGTGTTACACCCCATCTAAAAGCTGAAAGATTGAGAAAGTTATTAACTCTTCATTACTTTTCTCTTGCATTAGTTAACTTTCTCTTAGATTATAATGTGCTAGTAGTATTGCTACTCAAAATTCTATATTAGAGGTCATCTTCATATGGTGTAACTTGTAAGTAAGATGCATGTTAAGTGGATTACTTTTCTTTTAAATTCATGTTGTTTCTGTCTTGCGTAAATTATAGTCAAACATGCAATATGAATCGTGCTGAGGCATTAGTGAGGGACATGGAAGAAGCAGGCATAGATGCTCCTATTGACATTTATCACACCATGATGGATGGCTACACCATGATTGGCAATGAAGATAAATGCTTGGTTGTGTTTGAACGACTCAAGGTACAAGCTTAGTTGAAAGTGTTTCTCTTGCCCAAGCGATGCATATGTATATGCATCTGTGCTTGTGTCCCATAATCAAAAGTTCATTTTAAGAAGCGACATTTATTTCTATCAGATGATATTTGTAGATTTTGACTGGATTTCGATTTTTTTTTCTTTCTATGTTCTATAAGACAATTCATGGTTAAAAAAAGGCAAGAAGAACTGTAAATATGATTAAATATGTCCTCTTTGATTGAAAACATAGAAGACCTCTTTATACACAAAGAGTCAAAGACTAATGATTAATTAATAAAAAACCAAAATGTAGTTTCCATCTTAGTGCTGATTTAATTAGAGGAGCTTTACATGGAAACTTAAAACAGAAAACTCAGTTACAACTTGCAAGTATCTGAAATTTAGAAATATAGGAATGATATGTTGATGCAGGAGCATCTACGAAGCTCTCTAAGATTACTTAGGCCCGTCACTCAATTGGGCTAGGGTTCTATTTACTTTAAATTATTAGTTACTTCTTTTGTTTTCCTATTCTTACTATTTATATTCTAGTATAAATAGGCTATTTAGAGACTCTTGTATTTAGTTTTTGTTGATGAATATAATTTCAGACTTTAGTCTATAGAGTTTCTAATGGGATTTTGCCCTAGAACTCAGTTATCTTCATTCCAACTTCGATTCTACTGCTTTATCCTTCTATCCTCTGTATTTTGGGTCTGTTTGGGTTGCTGGACAGCAGCTTATAGCCGCTGCCCTGCATCATATGTACAAGTATAAAAATTGAATATAGGAGTTGTTTGTGTATGATGGTAGTAAAAGGGATGTAGCCTATCCTTTACTTTTGCCTCTAAAGGTTCGTAGATTGTCTGTTAAGATTTTAACTCTTGCCTATCACGCTACAATAGACTGTTCAATATGTCCATAATGATTTGACTTATTTCTCCTCTGTATACTAATACTTGCTAATTGGCATATAGGAATGTGGGTTTACACCTTCAGTCATCAGTTATGGATGTCTGATCAATCTTTACATTAAGGTATGACTCCTTTTAAATTATTTTTTTCCATTTTTACATGATAGTGACAATAAGTTGCCTTCAGATTTTGTTTTGTGCTATCATTTAAGGGCTTCCTGTTCAGTTAAGACACAATTGCCGATTAAGTTTAACTTTTGGAACCTGAGAAATACTTCCTCATAAGGCCAACTTGGAGTATTAAAACGTGAATTTCCTTGTGTGAGTAAGCTTACATGATACATCACTTCCTTGGCCAACTAAGAAATAAAGGGCAGGCCTTTCTTTGAGATACTCTTCTGAAACCCAAGGTGGTGTTATTCTTCGAGTCTTCTATGTTTCCTTCTTCCCCTCCTGTGTCATGTTAGATTTGTATCTTCTAATACCTAAAGTATATGTATAAGTACAGAGCAGTCAGTTTGCTATTTAACCCTTCCTTTCTTCCAATCACCCACCAATCAAAATGAAGAATGAAAAATGAAGTTTTTGCTTCACCATAACCTGATGATCCCTGTTATATACATACTAATCCTTCAAGGCTGTCAAATCTACTTAAAAAGTTGGTTACAACATTGTCACCTGAAGAAAACCGTAAATCGAACTGAGCCAAACTTTTTATATGTCCGCTAGTTTTTATGCCTACATGTTATTTGCGGGTGCTAATATCTGTTGAGGGTAGTTGTGTAAAACCTCGCTGGTGCAATACTTGGAGTATTGCTATCGCCTTCATGTTCTTTCTCAGTGCATAGCTTTTGAGTTTGTTCTTTTGTTTCTTCTTTGAATGCCTTGAATTCAGATTATCACCATTTTGTTTGTGAGGTGTAAGTTTGTAAGTGTGTATTTATTATCATTTGGTATATCAAATATGCTCACTTTCAGATTGGTATCAAAACTTTCAGATTGGAAAAGTTTCTAAAGCCTTGGAAATTAGCAAACTGATGGAATCAGCCGGCATAAAACATAACGTGAAGACCTACTCCATGTTAATCAATGGATTTTTGAAGTTAAAAGATTGGGCTAATGCATTTGCAGTTGTGGAAGATTTAGTGAAGGATGGTTTGAAGCCTGACATAGTCCTTTATAATAACATTATAACAGCATTCTGTGGAATGGGCAACATGAACCGTGCTGTTCGTACTGTCAAAGAAATGCAGAGGGAGAGGCATAGACCTACATCACGGACATTTATGCCGATAATACATGGTTTTGCAAGGGCTGGAGAAATGAGAAGAGCTCTTGAGATTTTCGATATGATGAGGATGAGTGGATGCATTCCCACTGTGCATACTTTCAATGCTCTGGTTCTTGGTCTTGTGGAGAAGCGACAGGTAAATATCCTTGAGACACACACCCACAGACAGACACATCCGTATCGATCTCTCAAATCAGGATGTCTGGATTTTAAAATTTACAGTTCTGCATGATTTATATTCCCATTCATTACAATCATGATTGAAACAGTGCAGAATTATGATTGAAACAATGCTCAATTTAAATGCACAACAATTATGATTGAAACAAAAGTAAGTTTCAACTGTTTCATAAAAAGAAGGAATGCTTAAAGCTGAATCATCCCTCCACAATCAGACTTGCTGGGACTCATTACTAGTAGTGATGATTAAAGTGAAATAATAGACCTAAGCTTTTCCATACCTTTAAATAGAAGTTTGTTGAGCGAATGAATTGTTGCTATGCAATATCTGGTATGTTTCTATTTGTTGCGAAATAAGGACCACAGAAGATGTTCCAAATATTGATTTATGTCTCCATTGTGAACTCTTCTCCGCTGTACTTCTTAGTGTTTGAAAGTACATGTTGATTAATCCAGTCTGTTTTAGCTTGGAATCTTATATTATTTTGCTTCAGACTGCCTTCTGTTCACACCAGAGGTAATCCAATGTATCTTTTATGTCTTGCAGATGGAGAAGGCTGTTGAAATATTGGATGAAATGACACTGGCAGGCATAAGCCCAGATGAACATACATACACAACTATCATGCATGGTTATGCATCTTTAGGTGATACGGGAAAAGCCTTCGAGTATTTTACCAAATTGAGGAATGAGGGCCTGGAGCTAGACGTGTATACATATGAGGCATTACTGAAGGCATGTTGCAAGGCAGGCAGAATGCAAAGTGCTTTAGCTGTCACCAAAGAAATGAGTGCTCAAAAAATTCCGAGGAACACCTTTGTGTACAACATATTAATTGATGGGTATAGTTTGTTTAAGCTCTTCAGCATGCACCGATATACTTCAAATTAGTGCTTTCATCAGTCTATATTTTACTTTCTTTTTTTCTCTAATTTTTTTTGGGCAGGACGTTTATATAAAGTTATTGGATTCTACTTTTTCTCTGCTTCTCAACTTGTCTACTGACTATGGCTGTTTCCCTTCTGCAGATGGGCTCGAAGAGGTGATGTTTGGGAGGCTGCTGACTTGATGCAGCAAATGAAAAAGGACGGGGTGCGACCTGATATCCACACCTACACATCTTTTATAAATGCTTGTTGTAAGGCTGGAGACATGCAGGTATGCTCTTTAGTAAGTAATTATCTATTTCCTATTGTACCGTTGGTAAAGATAAGTTTGCATTACTTTAGCATATTCTTATTTGTTGTTGGTTGGGTTTTGATAGGTATTTTAGGATTTTTCAGGTCTTTGGAGATAGTTTTATTAAAATAGCATTACTTATTTGACCATTTTTTCATCAGCGATCCCTTGTCATCTTGCTCATTTAAGTTGGTCAAATGTGGGTTCTTAGAATACTAAATTTAGAAAACTAAAGTAACTTCATTTTCATTATAAATTCATTAGTTTAGTTCTGCAGTTCCGACTTTTATGTACATTCTGTCTTTCAGAGAGCTGCAAAAACAATTGAAGAAATGGAAGCATTTGGAGTGAAGCCAAACGTTAAAACCTACACTACGTTGATACATGGTTGGGCACGTGCTTCTCTCCCAGAGAAGGCTTTTAGATGCTTTAAGGATATGAAGTCGGCGGGGTTAAAGCCAGACAAAGCTGTATACCATTGCTTGATGACATCTCTGCTGTCAAGGGCTACTGTTGCTGAAGCTTACATCTACTCTGGTCTTCTGTCCATTTGTAAGGAGATGATAGAATCTGGGTTGATTGTAGATATGGGAACTGCAGTTCACTGGTCGAGGTGCTTACGCAAGATTGAACGAACAGGTGGGGAGCTTACAGAAGCCCTGCAGAAGACCTTCCCTCCTGATTGGAGCTCATCTCATACTTTGGATGTGAGTTCCGACGTAGACAGTGATGATGAACTAGATATTATTAGCGATGACGATGACATGGAGTTTGCTAATAGAATAGATGATGGCAACATTATGTCGAGGATGGTCTGAACGACAGAACATGGTTCTAAATCATGTGCTTAAAGTTATTGACATAGGACATGGCATATGTGTTATGCACGTACAGCCGTTATGCTCTTGATGCTGGTTGCGGCAGCAGAACTTCACTTGAAGCAGGAAAGCACTTTGCAGGATAAGCACCCCTGCTATTATTTTTATAGTCATTCTTCCTCTTCAGGCTTAAACGTCCCTTGTACAGAACAACCTTAATTTTGTGTATTAAATAACATTTTGGTAATTAGAATTAGTTTATTCTTTTTTACCGCGCTTGAATTTGCCATTGCCCTTGATAGATAGGTCTAACTCCTCGTTGTACCTTGGGAGTTTTTGAGCCACTTTACCTACAATATATATAGATGCTAACTATGGGAGGATTTCAAAAGACGACTATTGATGGAAAATTATTGTAGTTGGTTTTTTAATATTTTATATTTATTTATATAAATAATATTGTACTTTAATATAATATAAACTATAGAGAGGAGAATTTAAACTCGATGTAGAGTTGGGAGCATATCCGCTCTAGCCCATGTCTGCATTATTGTAGTTGGTTTTAAAAGGGGTAAAGGACATGAAAATTGTTTTTCCTTTTTTGGGTAAATAAATATGATATTTATAAAATACTTTTATAATGGGCCAACACAATCACAACAAAGCTAGATTACCATAATGGGGCTAGTCACACTTAAGTATGAAGATTGGTTTTTCTTTTTAGGGTAAATAAATATGATATTTATAAAATATTTTTATAATGGGCCAACGCAATCACAACAAAGCTAGATTACCATAACGGGGCTAGTCACGCTAAGTATGAAACTCAGAGCAAATATATATCGTCCTCATCATCCATGACATGTTTTCTTATTAGGAATGAGGGAAGTCATGAATTGAGGAACTTAAATAAGATAATTAAGGAATTTGAATTGAATCAACTGCTCCTCTTAGTTGATTTCATTCCTAATTTTGAGAGTATTTGATTACGAATTTAACATGGAACCCGATAGTGTTATGAATCCACTCCCACATTGAAATACTTCTAGGAACACAGTTTGCCATTATTGATCTCCCAAACGGTACTAATGTTAAGATTACCATCTTCCTTTACACAGTTGTAATTTCTGTTTGAGACGGTTACTAAAACGTTTCCAGCTACTGTAAGTGGTTTTTTCCATAACATATAAAACTTTCAGACTTTAGCTGACACTTGTTTTGAAAAAACAGTAGGAATCAGACTTATATGCTCTGCATTGGTCGTTTCTCTCCCCCTATCGAATGTGCATATTTGAAAATTCATATGGTTTGACTTATTTTCTGTTTATCTTCCCTGAATTATTCTCAAATAAATCATAATTTTAAATTTTCACAGGTCAGTGTGTGTGCTCGTTCATCCCTCACTATTATATATGCTTGACAACTTTCAGTCTATAGTTTCCCATTCGTTATTTCAGGTCATTAAATATTTCATCATGCTATGATTTTAGTTCAAGCTTATTAGTTAGATCAGTTGCTCCATCAAAAATTGCACAAATCAATCTTCATCGTAGATAGATCACTGAATTCTTTTAGGGCTTTATAATATTCCTATTTCATCGCAAAATAATTGCGTCGATCGATCGATAAGGTAAAGTTTCACGATCACTTGGTATAATTTTGGAAATGGAAATGGAAATGCAAGAGTTTTGTTTTGCTTGATAAATTTCGTGAAGATCGGCCTGCCAAGATATTTTTAAGAAGAGCTAATGTTTGTGAGTTTTTTAACTAGTTGATGATGAATGAATTATGTTGAAATTATCATGTTTATTTTCTATAATGATAGCTAGCCGTAAGGACCAATCTTTAAAAGTAATTATGGTATGTTCTTTTCTTTTTCCCTTTTTTGAGCTTATCAAATGTTCAATATATATTTGAAGTTTTTCCCTTTTTATTGTGATGTGATTTTGTTTGCGTACTCATCATGTGTAAGATATCGGATTCACTCTCTGGCCGTATCCTTTTGAAAATTGCATTTATTTCAAATTGGACATTCGGAATCTTCAATTTTGTACGTAGAAATATATATTGTTGTGATTTTTTTTTCTTCAGGAATTTCGATGGTACGAGAGAGACTTTGTTAATCACCAACAGAAATATAGGGGGATATTAGAATCTGAACCAGATTACAAGCATTAATTAATAGAGAATCCCGAATAATATCAGGTGGCACCTCAAACGCTACAAGCAAACCTATGCGCCACTTCAATAGTTTGGAGGTAGGATTCATCGGTTCTTGGAATCAAATCTCCTAGTAGGAGCCACTGGTATTTGCCTATGTAGCATTACTAGCATGATCTATAATTTACAAAATGAATTTTTGAACAGAAAATAATTGCTTATATGGTTAATTAAGTGATCAATTGTAGAAAGTCAACGATGCATGTGCATTAGTTATCAATTCATTGAGAGCCAATAATGAGTATGGGGGTTAGGAAACAAAACAGTTCATGTACAACTATTCTCCTCTTCAAAACCCCATAATTTGGAAGACAGTATGTTCTAAGTATTCCGACAATGGAATCAATTTTCTTTGGATGAGAGTGAGTATATTCATGCACATTTTCAGGCAAACTGAATTTGGATAAGGAGTTTTTAGTGTTTAATAACGACTCAGAATTTTTTTTCAATATTTTTATAGTTTTGTTATAAATTTTAAATGATGTACCACGTGGATGAGTTGCATCTGGATTTATTTTCTGATTTTTTTTTATTGTTTATATTTTTGCAGATTGATAATGACAAATTATCGTTTAAAGAATTTTATATCCTTCTAAAATTAAAATTAAAGTTATCAATTAAAATTTATTTACCCCCAAAATGTTTTTATTTATTTATAATGAACTGGTTCAATTGCAAAAATCATATATAAGTTATAAATAAGAAGCAACTTTAAAAAATGAGCATGCAACAGGCTAGAGTAGACACACTGTTTCAAAATAAAGGGATCTCAATAAGGTACAAATATGATGGGGTCGCTCTCTCGTTCACGCGAGGAGAGCCTTGACGGCTAGGATTAGGGTTTCTTCAGTTTTCTTTATTCATTCTCTGCGCTGTCTTTCTTAGTTTTCTTTGATTGTCTCTCTGGGTTCTTCTTGGTGTATTGAGTACAACTTTTTTTGCTCTTTTGTTTTTTATGGGATAGCTGCGCCGATTTCCTTTTTGAGTTCCCAAGGAGGTAGTTGTTGGTGAAGGGTCTCCATCTTAATGCTATGGAGGTGACCACCGTCTCTTCTACTCAAGGAGATGACAAGTATGTGGCACCAAGCGGCAATCAGAAGTGTGTGAAAACTGGTGTTAGGCATTTGATTGTTGGTGGCATGGATTTTTATGGTAAGTGTAGTTTTTGTATCGAACATTTTGTTGACAAGGCTAAGGAGACCAGCCTCGAGGGGTCTCCAAGGTCTCCTTAATAATTCTCCTATGGAACATTCGTGGGCTTGGCAACCGATGAACATTCATACTATGAAGATCTTTCTTCGGAAATTTCTTCAGGTTAAGAAATCAATCTTGGTCTCCCTTGCTTGTCAACTAGGGTTCTGGATTACGAAAATTGGAGGTGGAGGTTGGTGTTTGGTTGGATCTGTTATGATGCTCACAATGCATTTTTGACTCTGTACGAAGAACTATGATGCTTTCTTTAGATCATAGGAGGCTTTCTTTGACAGTACATACGTAGTGATGGGATGTGTTTCAATGGTTTTGCAGTTGGGTGATTGGCTGGATCTATTCTGATACCCATAGTACGTTTTGACTTTGTATGAAGAACTATGATGTTTTCTATAGAGCATAGGAGGACTTCTTTGACACTACCTACGTAGTGATGGGATGTTGTTTTAAGGGTTTTGTGGTTGGGTTTTAGGTTTGTCTATTTCGTGTAAGTTGTTCGACTCTTCTATTTAGTCAATAGCATGAGTGATACTCTTTCCTATCCGGGAATTTTGTTTTCTTTGGGAAGGTTTTAATGAGACCACCATTAACATGCTAGTTCTTACCATGTAATGTTCCTTTCAGTTTCAATCTTTTCTTTGAAAAAAACAACAACAAAACTCAGGTGATTAAGGGAATTTATCGATGGACTCGAGATCCTAAGTTTGATTTCCCCCATTCTCAATATCACTTGTATCAATAGATAAAATTAAGGGTATGGTTAATAATTAAGAAAAAAATTATTGTAGGGTAAATTCTAATAGGCAGTGTGCTCAGACCCCCATGCCACTCTCATCCTACGTAACACAACAAATTGTTGTACATACAAACAACAAAACCAGCTCCTCTAGGGCTCCACGCACATGGACAATTTCCAATATGTAACACAGGACATAAGCATTTCTTACCAACGCTATATTTGTAGAGTATGTACAAAGGTAAGGCTCCAGAGGATGTGTTTGACTTGTAACTATTTATAATGTTACATTAATAAAGAATACCTAATTACCCATGTTATTGTAGGAGACTTTTTCTTCCTGCAGCTATAATGGGTTGGGCTGCTGTAAAGGGCAGACTAAGGAGACTGTCCTATGCTTGGGTTCAAAAATTAAGCCCCAAAAATACTTCGAGAGGGTAGCAAAGCCTTAGGAAATATTTTGGCTACCTTCACCAACCAAAATAATGGCAGCTTACAGGTGGTTTTGGCATGCTTATAGATAATCTTTTTAGCTCAGCGTGAGTGACATATGGCATGGAAGCAAAATCAACATGAGTTTAGCACTAAGAGAACATTTAGGCTTTCTTTGACGGGAAGGGAAATGTTAGGGTAAGAAAGGAGAAGTTTTGTGAGAGATTTGGCTAGGAAAGGGAAAATGAAGAGCAGAGTTCTTTTGGCAGTTGCCAGAAGAACAAAATGAAGAAGGAGATGAACAGTGCACGAGGTTGCTAGATTTTTGCAAGTTAGAGAGAAGGCTTGCCCTCTGAATATGAGTTGCCTTCGTTAGGTAGGATAAGCCTCAATTTATAGCCGCTGGAAACCACCATTTTTCAAGAAACCCTAATGGCTTCTACCCATTTTGGCTAAGCTTTTCCTTCCTTTCTTATTTCCTCCTTTGGTTTTTCCATTTTGATGAAATTTCTCCTAGTTTTTGAAGCTCAAGGCCCCCCTTTCCCGCAGCCACCTTAATGGCAGACTTTCCACTTCCAGCCATTTTGTTCATTGCTTTCTTCTCTTTTTTCTATGGCCAAGTTTGATGGAGAAAGGGGTTGGGATATACATGTTGGTTTAAAGGGTGCTTCTGACAACTCGCAGGCTAATATTCCTTGGTCCCTTGAGTGTTTCTTGCTTGGAACTTGTTCCCTCCATGTGCTGGAAACTCCCAGCAGCTTAGTTCAATGGACCTGCAGACCTTCTCTACGTGGCTTCTATTTTTTCAGCAAAGGGCTGAGACTTTTGAGGCTTGTTTTTGGGGTTTTGTATGGACCAAGGGGGTCCCTTAAGCAGGTGGGCTATTTTATCAAACATTGGGCTTTTAAGCTAATAGGCTATTTGGGCTTTTTTCTTTTGGGCTATTTCTTTTCCCTTGTGTTTACCCACATGTTTGGGCCTAAGAAATGGGCTTGAGTCTCGAGATTCCCAAGCAACTCGAGACTTTCCATTTCTCGGCCCATTAATGGGCCTTATGTTGACTTATTACCATCCATGCCACAACCCACTCAAGCAAGCACCATGTGTTTGAGTGGCTTGGGTCCACTTAGACTTGTAGCGTGGTTGGGAGTGAGATAACGATTTCGTGCTTTGCATGGCATGTCGCTTGACATGTTTTAATTTATCGTCCTGCGATGTTTAATTTTCGCATGGGCTTGTAGACCCGGTATATTTTATCTCAACCCCTAGCGAATTTATTTATTTAGCGTGACACGTGAACTGTAATTCGCATGTGATGGATTTTTGTGTACTCTTCTTTACGCTTCTTAATGGACTGTCGTTTTGGGCTGATAATTTATTCTGGCCAAACTATGAATTTTTTGGGTCTCAACAGTTATAATGTATAGCTAATGGAGTCTAGCCCAGTTGCAGACCAGTGCATACCAACTAATTTTTGGTTTAGTGATATTTGTCTTCACTTATTTTAAGTAGGTCTCAAATTCGACTTATTTGGATGGGGAAAACGATACATATACTTATGATGAGTTTGAAATCTTATGATTATCCTAAATTCGTTATGAGTGTGTTGCTCTGTTGTAAAAGTATGTTGTAAATATTCAATCATTCGGAAAAAAAGAAGATGTATAGCCTGCAAGTTGTTGGAGAAACATGCATGCTAAATATTATATTTTTCCCTGTAATTGATGAAGCAAGTAACTCATAAACATCTACCAATCACTAACGTGATAAAGAGCTTGGAGGGAAAAAAAGAAACAGATCAGAAAAAGAAAGGTAGTACTTCCCTCATAAATGAGAAGTCTATTTCGAAGGTCCCAATCTCCAGACTCCCCTGCTCTGTTCTGCTGCTCTTCATAAAGACATGGGCAAGGACAAGTGTGCGTGATTCAACCGTTGCCTCTTAAATAGGTCATAGGAATTTTGCTTGTTTATGTTTGATTTCTTCTTTGACACGTTAATTTTTGCAATGGCCAGAGCAGGACCAATGCGTGAATATGTCAACAAACCAGCCAAAGCAATTAATTCTCAGAAAAAGCAATGCATGGGTGAAACCAAAAACCAACAAGACCACTTTGTTTTTTCCCTTAAAACTAGCAGTTTCTTTAATCAAATTAAACACATGAATGAAGTTCGAAATTATAAAAGAAACTGATTTTGAAAAAAGTGTTTGTTCCATTTACTTGTTTTAATTAGAGTGTGGCATTGAAGTAACCTGTCGTGATATAACTTGTGTACGTATTAGGATATAAGTCGATATTTGTTGATATTATATTGTAAAAGTGAAAAATAAAAATCATATCGTCCATTTATATTATAATACGGAAACAGAATTGCGTGTTTTGTATTTGAATACCATACAATAGTTTCTTGTATTGGGAACAGAGCATTCAACACTATTCAATTCTATTAAATACGGTCATGAAAAGGCCCTACCAGCACGAGCAAAAACCCATTTCCTCTCCATCTTCCTTTATATTAAAATCACTCCTCCTGCAACCACCTCAATCACATTAAATACCTACCAGCACACAAAAGCAAACAGACATTCACAAACATCCCAAGTCAAAACCCAATTTTATAAGCTCATCAGATCTCTCTTTGGATCCAATACAATGGGCAAGAAAATGATGAAGCTGCACTCCCTCTTCAAGATCAAGGAAACACCGACAACAACAACAACAACAATGTTGGCAACGCTTCCATGGCAATGGCCTTCTTGCAAGCACCCCAAAACCCTCTCCTTCCGAGCAGGGGACAACATGTTCAAAACCGTAAACTCCGTCTTCTTCGACCACGGAGGAGTCGAAACTCCGGAGTCTTGGTTTACCAACTCATCATCGGAGTCAACAAGTTTCACGACAGAGTCCGAGGACTACTTTGACGGAGAGTCCTTGGAAATGGTGGTCCGGGGAGCAAGATCCGAGAGGCTGTTTTTCGAGCCCGAGGACACCAACTCCATCCTCGAAAAGGCGAAAGCCGGGGAGATCAACCCGTTTAAGGAGAGCGTGGTGCTGGCCATGGAGTCGGAGGATCCTTACAAGGACTTTCGGAGATCAATGGAGGAGATGGTGGAGTCTCATGGGCTAAAAGACTGGGAGTCCCTGGAGGAGCTTTTGGGATGGTATTTGAGGGTGAACAAGAAGAAGAATCATGGGTTTATAGTTGGAGCATTCTTGGATCTTCTTGTTGCTCTGGCAGCTGCTGATTCTAATAATGCTAATAATTCTAGGTCTTGTACAGTTCATAATTATTCTACTTCTTTCTCTTCTGCTGTTTCTTCTTTTTCTTCTCCATTGTCATGTTCTTTTCAAGGTCAGAATGAGATTGGAGAGGAAGAGGAGATTACAATGTTTTAATTTCTTTTTTCCTTTCTTTTCTTTTCTTTTCTTTTTTTTAATTTAATTGGTAGGCTATAAACGATTTTGATGATGGAAAAGAAATGATGTAAATCTCAATATACTATCTCTCTGGGGTTGGTTTTGTTTTTTCATTAATTTTGAGTCAACGGAGTTTTCAGTTCAGTTACCTGCGAGAGGAGATGTCTCAAAATAATAGGCTGGTAGTGGATGCATCAATTTTGGATACAGAAGAATTGAACTCTCCACAACTTTGATGTGCAAGCAATAAATAATTTATACAAAAGGACAAATACCGTCAACTCAAAAAGGTTCATAAGCTAGAATACTTTCCAATTTGGTCTTGTTCTTCCAAACGGGCTTGATGCTGTTAAACTTTAGCATTAATACAATTTTAAAACGAGGTTAAATAAATAAAATAATGACAGTCATAGGAAAAAAAAAAAAAAAAAAAAAAAAATAAACACTTTGGCTTCGGGACGAGAAATTAATTGTTTTTCCATGCACGGCAAGTCCGTGCATGGAAAAACAGGCTAGCATTAAATGCACATTTTTCATGACCATTTTATCCTCATTAATAATTTAGAATTACAATATAAAATTAAATACATTCTTTTATTATTTGATTTGATATGGGTATAATTGGAAAATTAAACAAATTTTGTTTTACATTCCTACACAAACCAAACATGAGAAAGGAAATAAAGTGATATTTCTCGGTTACTTTCCCAACATTACCAAACATGGGAAATGAATCTTCCATTTCCTATTCCTTGGAAAATGATTTATCTTGTCACAATTTTTGTTCACAAGCTAAAACAAAATCACAAAACACTAACCAAAAATACAAACAAAACAAGCTTGTTTACATTATGAAATTTTGATGTCGTTGGCAAACAGCGACGTGCATAATTTATATGTCATTTCGGTACAGCAACCGTACTAAAAACAGCCCTAGTTTTAAGTTCATAGGAGTAGCAATGTTGTTCTTGGGGCCAGAAATAACTAAAGGCTCAAGCCCAATAAGTTCAAGGAAGTGAATGACACCGCTTAGCAGATTTGGGCTCCACGTACCCAAGCAACCTTAACAGACAAATGAGGAAGTCAAGGGGCCCAGTTTGGTGGATCGGATTAAACTAGGTTGGAGTTGAGAGTCCAAGTCCGTTCTTATAAGTTTCACCCTTTTAGGACCTGTTGTTCATTTTAATTGAAATAGTCCAATCCAGTTGGACCTACCAAACATGGCCTTTGATAAAGGGTATTCGGGCTGAGAGGCATTCCCTTCTTTAGCTTGTAGTGAGGAGTCGTTATTTGTGTAGGGGGAGGCTCTTCTGCAGGATGATTTACAAGTACTGGTGCACTGATTTATAAAAGCTTCAGTTGCCATTTTAAAAAATGAAAGAAAAGGTTACTACTAATCATAAAAGTACAGAGAGAGAGAGAGAGAGAGAGAGAGAGAGAGGAGAGAGAGAGTGTGTGTTTTGTTACATGGATTTCATGCAAGCTGGAGATACAACTCAATCAATCATCAAAGGCATTATTATTCCTCTTCTTCGAGAAGAGAGAAAAAGGTGAGCAAAACAGTTCCAAATCCCTTCAAACAGACAGACAGTCCTCTCTTCTTTTCCTCAGGTCCTCGAAATTGGCGGTCTACCATAGCTTGGCCTTTTGCCTTTCTCTTTTTCCGCATTCTTTTCTTTTTCTTTTTCTCTTTTCTTCTTTCCTCTTTTCCTCCGATCCTATTATCTAGCTAGTTTCAAGTTTATTATTCTAAAACACATCACTGATGTATAAAGAAGGAAAAGTGATTATTCCATTCATTGTGTTTAAAGCTCTTTGTGCTTTTTCAAGTATGTTTTCTATACTTCCCACAACATTGAGAACCATTTGCTTTTATTTATCCAAAACCCCCTTCTTTATATGGAGAAAAAGAGAGAAAAAGAGATTGAGAGAGGCAAAAGTTGCTTCACATGCAGTCCACTTTCACATACAAAGCCAAAATTTCCCTCACTTACAAGAAAGGCACAAACCCACATATCCCATAATAATCTTTCTTATACACTCTCTTCTCCACTCTCCTCATCAAACACAATATAAACCAGCTGAGCATGTAAACTACTTCAGATTAAACCAGCAACAAGGCCCCCAGAAAAATATATCTATCCAAACGAAACCCATTAAGCCAAACCCTTTGGGAGTCTAATAGAGTGATCCTTATATATACAATCTTCCTGTGTACCTACTGGGAAAACTAAGCTAGAAAGCAAACATTTATATATAACTAGAGATCATGAGAGCAGGAATTTGCATAGTCCAGCAGGCTCTAACAGTAGAGGCTGCAAGCATGGTAAAGCAATCCATTAGCCTCGCTAGACGGCGGGGTCATGCCCAAGTGACTCCTCTCCATGTGGCAAGTGCTATGCTTGCTTCTCCCACAGGACTTCTTAGAAGGGCCTGCTTGCAATGTCACTCTCATCCCCTCCAGTGCAAGGCTCTTGAGCTTTGTTTCAATGTGGCCCTCAACCGCCTCCCTGCTTCAACCCCAAGCTCCATACTAGGAACAGGTGGCCCTCACTACTCCAATAACCCGTGTTTCTCCAATGCCTTGGTCGCAGCCTTCAAGCGTGCTCAGGCTCACCAACGCCGCGGCTCTGTTGAGAACCAGCAGCAGCCTATTTTAGCCCTAAAGATAGAGTTAGAACAGCTTATAGTCTCTATTTTAGATGACCCAAGTGTTAGTAGAGTCATGAGAGAGGCTGGTTTCTCTAGTCCCCAAGTCAAAAGCAGAGTAGAACAAGCTGTTTCTGTTTCTTTAGATATCATTTCTTCTACTCAAATAAGTCCTAGTAGCCAGTCCAAGGATAGCAGTGCCAAACAACCTCTAGAGCTCATTGGTACTCACCATCATGTGATGTCTCCGCCTGCACTCGGAGAACAAAAACACTTTGATCAAACTAGGCATGAAGATGTAATGAGTGTATTGAGAGAAATGTTGAACAAGAAAATAAGAAACATTGTTGTTGTAGGAGAGTGTCTGGCTACAGCTGAAGGTGTAGCTAGGGGAGTGATGGATAAGTTTGAGAGAGGAAATATAATTAATGCTGCTCAAGATCAGGGGGATTTGAGGTATGTGAAGTTTATATGTGTTCCTCTCCACTCTTTGAGGAATATCTCCAGAGATGAGCTTGAAGAGAAATTTGCAGAGCTCAGGAGCCTGATTAAAAGCTACATAGGCAGAGGGAATGTTGTCTTGTACTTGGGAGATCTCATGTGGGTTTCTGAGTTTTGGTCCAATTATGCTGAGCAGAAAAGAAACTGTTACAGTCATAATTTGGAGCAAATAATCATGGAGCTTAAGAGATTGGTGTGCAGAATTGGGGAGGATGGAAGATTGTCACTTATGGGAATTGCAACTTTCCAGACTTACATGAGATGCAAAACAGGCCAGCCTTCTCTAGAGAAAATTTGGGATCTCCATCCTGTAGCGGTCCCAGTTGGAAGCCTGAGCTTAAGTCTAAACTTTGACAGGTAAATTAATTTTCTAGACTTGAAGTTAAATTTAATTTTCTGTTACATTAATACCAGTAGAAGCTGATTAATGTTATTCAGTGTTCTTTTCTCCTTCAACCTATTATTAGGTTCAAGATGCATGTCATGATTAATATTATTTCTTTCCATCAGCAAGTGACATAGTTTTTTGTTTTTGTTTTGGCTTGTCTGTATTTTCTTAAATCCAGTTATTTGCAAGCTGATATGAGTACCATGGCACCAAAAGATCAGACTGATCAGGTTTCCACCACTTCCACCATCTCAAGCTTGCCCTTGTGGCTCCAAAAGTGCAGGGAAGAGAACAGAAACAATGATAAGGTTGGCCTATATCTTGGCTGACACTTTATTATAAAGTGATATAAAGTAATGAATAAAGTTATTGTCTGTACTAGCACAAATTGATATATAATTAATTAAGTAATATTCCTTTGTGTTTGTTCTATGTTTGTTTTTGAGCAGGAATGTATTGAAGTCAACAATATCTGCAACAAGTGGAACTTATTGTGTAGTCCAGCGCCCCAAAAACACCCCCACTATCCAGATAAACTAGCTTTCAATTCTTCTTCAAAATCTCTTACTTCCTCCAAGCCACTCTCTTCACATGATTGCAACCTCAACCTACATTTCAAGGATGATGAACCCAAAGACTCACCAAAAGAATACCAATTCTGGGGGTTTGAAGATAATGATGATGACTGTTATGAAGACCAAAATGAGACTAAGCCAGATCTCTTATCAAATCCTAACTCTAGTCCTAATTCGGCTTCGTCAAGCGAGGTAATGGAAGACATGGATGACGTCCTTGGAAGGTTCAAGGAGTTTAATGCTGAAAATGTTAAACTTCTATGTGAAGAAATAGAAGACAAGGTTCCATGGCAGAAAGAGATCATTCCTGAAATCGCCACAACGATCCTCAAGTGCAGGTCTGGTATGAGCCAAAGGAAAGGTAACCTCAAACACAAGGAGGGCAAAGAAGAAAGTTGGCTCTTCTTTCTAGGCTTTGACTCTAAAGGCAAAGAGAAGATTGCAAGGGAGCTGGCTAGACTTGTTTTTGGCTCTCAGAACAACTTTGTATCAATTGGCATCAGCAGCTTTTCTTCACCAAGAGTTGATTCCACTGAAGAATATTCGAAAAACAAGAGGGCACGAAACGAGTTCGGTTGCAGTTATGTCCAGAGATTTGGCGAAGCTTTGAATGAGAATCCTCACCGAGTGTTCTTCGTGGAAGACCTTGAACAAGTTGATTATTCTTCTCAAAAGGGTATCAAGTACGCAATTCAAAGTGGAAGAATAACACTTGCTGACGGTGAAACTCATGTTCCTCTTAAGGATGCTATTGTGATTTTCAGTTCTGAAAGTTTCAGCTCAGTTTCCACAGCCTGCTCTCCTGCAAGAAGCCGAAAATCGGATGAAGCAACCAAAGAGAAAGAGGATGATCATAACTTGGAGGAGAAAATCCCATGTGTCTCACTGGATTTGAATCTTACTATTGAAGATGATAATGAAGAGGAGCTTTCAGATGCAGACTATGCTATATTGGAAGCTGTGGATAGGCAGATTTTTTTCAAAACTCAAGAATCACAATAGAAGACAATTCAAACTGATCTTTAATTCCTGAAGTTTTAACTCTTTCTTTTTTTGGTTTTTTCTTATTTTTCATTGATGGGGAGGTAAAGAAATGTTTAACTTAATATGGGAAAGAGGTAGGTTAATTTGTAAGCATTTTTCATGATTGGAAGCTAGCTAGGATTTTGCTTTGTTTTCTGTGCTAGAATCTTGTTATGCAGCAAAAGTTGTGTATGTAAATTTTCTTTTTTCCTCCATATTGTTATACTTATATGCCTAGTTAGTTAAGTTGCCAAGGAGAAAAACAAAATATAGTCAAAGGAAAGCTTAGGGCTTGTTTGGCGATCATTTTATTTTAGTTTTTAGCTTTAATTTTAATTTTAATTTTAATTTTAATTTTTTGTTAAAAACATAAGGAAAATACATAAGAGAAAAGAGGATTTTAGAATCTTGTCATACTTTCGTGCACACTAAAGTGGGATACACTCTAGAACCTAATTGATTTCAATATTAATAAGAGCTTATTAATCTTGATGCAGTTCTTTAATCTTGAATATATAGTGGGGAAGCAGAAAGCCTGTGTACATACCAACTAACTTTTGATCTATCTTTCAATGTTGGAAGTGATTCTTGTTTGAACCCCCTAATTGATAAAAAAAAATTCTTCAACAAAGTAGTTATATTTTAATCTAAATAATAATAATAATAATAAGTAGTTATATATTAGTTTTTTCTTCCGTAATGGGGCGGGTCGGGGAACCCATTCCCTAACAAAGGTGGGGATGGGGAATCCCCAATATGAATATTACGGGTATGAAGGCGGGGATGGGAAAAAAAAGCTTAACAGGGATGGGGATGGGGAATCCCCAATATGAATATTACGGGTATGAAGGCGGGGATGGGGAAAAAAGCTTAACTGGGATGGGGATGGGAATGGCATACCCACCCCCGATTTGACCCATTGCCATCCCTCGACCTCCTCTTCCAGTGCTCGACAGAACAAAACAAAATCATCAGCAAAAAATAAGTGGAAGATAGTTACACCCTCAGTGATAACTCGGTTTTGACTGTTCACATAGTAGGCCCATAGACCGCAAAAATTGAGTTGAGTTAATTTTGGTCCAAATACAAGTAAATTACATTGATTATCTCCTTAGCTGAAAGAGTGAATGCTTGTAATGAATTACAAGTTGCTTGGCTCACACTCATTCTGTTGAATTTTGAATTTTGATGGGTGTCCTCGTGTGGTCTATAAATTTTGAAATCTAAATAGCAATATGAATGTTGCTGTCTTAGGTACGTAAAAAATATTTTTATGAATTTTCCATTAATTCAGGACCTACCATTCAAGTTCCCCTTTTTCTCCTTGATCACTATCATTGAACTTGTGATCCCAATGAGTTGAAAGGTTGTTTAAATATTACACAGAAGCTATTGCACTAGCCGTTTTCGACATATGATCTTATTACAAGTACATGATCTAGAAATCATTGCAATCGGCAAAAAGGGTGTTATTAGAAAAAGCAATGGGGAGAAAACAAATAAAAAGCATGAAGCCACTAATTGTGTATTCTTTCGAGGGGTCATTGATGGTCTAAAGTATTCAAAGGAACATACTTTTTGATGGCTTTTGCACCTTTTCTATTTAATATCAACTCTCTCTCTTTCTCTCTCTCCCATCAAAGACAATATTCAAACCATCAAAGTTTTGATTAATTTTGGAAAGAGAGAGAGAGAGAGAGAGAGAGAGAGAGTTTCCACAGCTTGAGCTTTTGTAGTCTCTAGGGAAAAGCAAGCAACGGCCGTCTTTTTTGTCTCAACAATTCAAACTTTATTGAGACTTGTGAAAATGGAAATTTGAACAAGTTTTAAACAAACTCTCAACAAATTTTGGCAAAACATTTATGAATGTACAATTTAGGCTTGAGCACATAGAAGATTAAATTATGTGCATCCAAACAATTTCAATCAGATTTCAGTTCGATTCATGCATTCAAAAAATTCTTAGTTGTAAATGATTACTTTGGTTCAAGCCAATTTGTGAAAACAAATCTTCACCAATTGGTTTTAACAATTCTTTTTGCTTTGTTTTATAAATTTTGCAATGCAATATTGGATATCCAATTTAATTGGTATTGTTTGGCCAGCTTAATTTGTTTCTCCAACTAAATCTAGTGTTCAATATTATAGGGGGAGAGTTTAGTCAAAAAGATTTTTTGTGCACATAGAGGGGACTCCCAAAACAAACATTCGGCAGCTACACATGGATTGCTGGTTCAAATAGCTTCATTTGAGATATTATCTAATCTATATATGATTTACCAGAAAATGTATGCATCATTGTGGCAGTGCAGAACACATGCTCTCTCTTTCTATCTGATTTGTTATATTGTTATCTATACTATGTCCATCAAAAATTTTGTTATGAGCCGCTAGAACTTTGCTGCGTGCCCATGTCCACCCAGGTCATCTTCTTCAGCGTTTCGTGCAGACTCCGGCATCAGCTTGTTTGGTGCTACATTTGACTCGCTGGGTAGAAAACTGCCTAACATGACCTGATATATGCTCAAGGATAGGAGGGAAAATTATATCATACATATGTGATTCTTTAATGTATGTTTTCTAAATGTTATCGATTGCAAAGTTGTTTTCAACTTTTGTATGTGTTGCATTTTTCCAGCTTTCAGACTTTTTTTTTTGGGTGTGTGTGTGTGTGTGTGTGTGGTTCATCGACTTGAATCATCATCACACCATAACCTTGGAACATTTGGAAGAAAAGTGTATGGAAGCATCTCCAAATCGCTAAAGCTCAGATTCAGCAATAACTTGATCTCGCATGGGAGAAAGACTTCCATGAAATAAAGATAGCACTAGTTTGCTATTCCCGACCAATAACGCTATGACACACGTGACAACACTTCCACATGGAATAACATTAGGCAAGGATAGCAAAACAATGTCATTCCCATTGCAACTAAGTTTTTCTCCTTGCATAGGCTGCTTCAGTTGTTGGCTGCCCAATATGGGTAATCATTCGACAATTAAAACAAGAAAATAACTATTTGATCCATCAATGGGATCAAATTCAAAACTTTGTCATGGTTCCAAAGAACCATTTGATCTATCACTTGTAAATTAGACATAAGATTTTTTTTTGTAGCAAATAGGCATATAACTTGTTAATTTACTATACTTGCCCGACCATTTCCAAATATCCAGTATCAAATCATGAAGCTGACATAGAACTAAACATTACATATAAATCTGACTCCAGAGAGTCAGATTTTCATTTTTAATATCAGTTTATCAAAAACAAGCATAAGCTAAAAACAAGATTAAAATTGTGGAAAAGACATACACAAACCCAAGGGCGAACTATACTAACATCAGTCTAGATATCGGAGTTCATTTTATATCCGTGGATGGATCCTTCCCAAACCCCATCAAAACATGAGTTGCCAACATTGAACCCCTACGAGTCATTTCCACAACGCGGCCAATCAGCGGTATCTTAACTGTTTCTCTATTCCAAAGAGGCTTCTTGTCCCACCTACAAAAATTTCATCTTCACTTTCATAAATGATCTGATAGAAAAAATTTTCAATAGCATTGCAGTTGTAAGAATAAATTCCGAATAACCCAAACTTGAACTTCACTTTAAATCAGTATAGAGGTCTATGCTCTATGTAGAATTTATGTTTACATAAACCCTTATGCTAAAATATTCTAGGACTTCTGTTTTAAAATTATTCCCTTAGGCACTATTTTCTTCTGATAGTTGGCTAGTCTAAACTAGCATCGGATGGAACCACACAGACTTGGTTCAAAGCTGACAAAAGCATATACAATAATACACTGCACCATCATTGACCCAAAAACAAATATATAGTACACCATCTCTCGGTAAATTGATTGCATCTTACTCAATATCTACCATAAATTTAACACAACACCTGGTAATCAAAACAAAACATATTTGGTTCCAAACTTCAGTTAAAGGGTATTCATTAGAAATATAAAGCAGGTTTTTAAATTTAAGCTAGAACAAAACATACCAAAAGACAAATGGAAGATACAAAAGAATGTTAAAAGGTTTAAGTACATACCAATCTTCATGGCGAACAACTTTTCCTTCCAAAAGGTGCAATTTGATGAGTGATATCACATCTACGTCTTTCCCCATGAACTTGTAATATTGTTTGTTATCAATCAATATCTGCACTCAAATGACAGGGACATCTAAATAGGTCTTACAACATATCGACCCAAACAAAATATGTTTTCAAAGAACAACTGAAAAAACTTTGACGAGGGTTGAAAAAGAAATCACCTCATGATTTCCTGGTGAAATCATATTTTCTGTGATGTCGTATTCCACAATTCTTGATTCACTAAAGATCTGATAAATAGGAAAAAACAAACCAAAGATGCTGTAAAGCTAAATAAACACATCAACAGCAGAAGTAGAACAAGAAGAGAAGCACCACTTCAACTCTACCGTATAAACTCGTTTAAAATCATAAGCACTGAAAAGAACTCTCTTGGGTTAGTCATTCATAGGGAAGTAACTTTTATGATCTAGAGTAGGTAATACAACTTCCTATATTCAAATTATGTTTATTTGCATCAAACCCAAGTTGCTCCAGGATCGAAAATTCTACAAGCTGAAGGTACACAAAGAATTCATGCCATCATGTTATAATGGGATTTGGGAAGGCATAGTCTGGGTTTCCGCAGAATCTTCAAAATATTGACACTCTAAAAAGAAATTTGAAACTTAGTCCAACTATCCCAAACAGTTGACTTATTCCTCCTATGTCGATCTCTTTGTACAGTTACCAATGCACCACAAACCACCATTTAATTTGACCCACTATAGAAAAAAGAATAAACAAAGGCAGAAAAGAAGAGAAAGACAAGACAAAGAACCTTGACATGCTCAAAGGCTGGTAATTTCATTACATCAACTGTCACTATTGAATTCAAAACGAAACCCCCAAAAGCATTTCACACATGATAAAAAATGAACATTATAATCAGCATGGATAGAGGACCTTCGGAAGTGAATAAAACGCTGATTTGATCTGCTTCAACCTACCAAAAGAAAAGATCGTCTGATACAGAGATTCTCATTTATAAATTCAGTCTCACAAAGCTAATGAAGCAGAATGATCTAACAAAAAAGCAGGTTATATAAAAGGTGATCTGTTAAGCTTCTATTGACGCTCATACTTTGGTGGAAGATTGGTGTACCAACAAGGGACATTCTCTCCAACTCTTCAAATTGGGTATACCACACAGGTGTACCTCCAAGAGCAATAAAATCAGGAAAAAAAATTCACAACAATCTCGTAGATGAAGCGCATGGCATAATCAAACTTTGAAGTAATGCATAAACTGTGTACCTACGTCACTTCTGTTAGAACCAGAGATCTTAATGTTGTGTTTAATTCTCTTCGAGAGGTGCTGTTGGCACTCACAAAATGTCAACATGTAGTCCTCACTATCAATTTTCCTCAATTGTCCCATTTCCTTAATGAGAACGAGTATTAGCTAACATGTAGTGTCAAGTTACTTTTTGGAAATGGCAGTTTTGGCAATTGAGTATCTGAGTTAATAAATGAATAAATAAGAAAACAAATGAGGGATGCAGGACGACATTTAAGAGTGCCAATAGCTCCTCTTTCATTTTTCTTCTTCCCTAAGAGAGCCTCAACTCTAGTGATTACAGGAGAAGGTTTTAAGTGAACTCTGTCCTGTAACAACTCATCTTCAAAATGATGGAAACCGGTTTTGGTTCTATATGGAAATTTCAAGGAAATCAACTACAACACCCCAAAGCATCCGGCATAAAATAATAACCTTAATTTTTTATTTTTTTTATTTTTTACGTATAATACTTTCTACTAGAATAGGAAAATTTATCCTCGTATGTTGCATCTTAAAACAGAAGCAAAACAAAAGCATTATCTTTTGAAAGGAAATGAAAAATTGAGTGCAAGACTTTACAGGAGGCAGGTGCATTGTTTTGATCCTGAGTGAGTAGACTAAGTAATGTAATTCTAGAGTAGTTAATTGAAACACGCCAATACATACCCACGAGCACACATCAGTGGGTCCTCAAAGGAAGCATTTGGACTGTAGATTTCAAAGTCAGAGGCCGTTGCACGGGATCCATATCTGAAATGATCCAGAACTAAAATTCTCATTAACTTTGCAGAAACAAACTGAATTCAATTTGGCACGGTAACTATAAAGGTAAATATATGATCACCCCAATTTATTTTTTTTATAATTAATTTGATTTCCAGTAAATTGATCAAGCATAAAGAGAATGATTTGTATGGTTTGCCAATGCAATAATTTTCAAAACATTAGCCTAAAATTGATGTTCCTCCATTGAAGTGCAAGATGGTGATGGAGACCCAGTTAGCATTGTTGAACTTTATCTATTATAAAACAGACCCCTTATAAACTGAAGAGTAAATAAATATATAAATCTTCCATATCCATACATGTCAGAGCAAGATAACTAAAACCCAGATAGCATTATTGACATTATTATCTGTAAAAGAGAGTGCCAAGGAGAATGAAACTTACATGTTTAGAATGTGAGGCATTATATCATCAGAAAGGTGTTTTCTTGAAATAAATTCGCATGCTCCTTTGCAGCACGCTTCCCTCTTCTGATCCATATACCCTTCCTTATCTTCAATTGAAGATAACGTAAATTTAATGCATATGAAACCGTAAAACCATACCAATATGAAAAATCCAAAATCCATGAAATACTAGAACCCACAATTTTATTTTATTTTCATGCGAATGAAAAATTTGAAAATCCCCAAGTTCAGACAAATTCAGAAATTAAAAAGAAAGAGAAATGAAACCTTGTTGGTTTTTCTCCATGGCCGAAGATGATAATTTGTTGCGGGCAAAACAGGTCTTGAATCGTAAAGAATGTGAGAGACTGAGTGATGGCTTGGCTTCAGAAGAAAAGAAAAGAGTAAGAAGAACTCGTGGCTTCATGGCGCGCAACGTGACCGTGCTTTGTCCATTTCCCTTTTTACATTGTCAACTCAACTTGGTTGTAGCTTCATGGCGCGCAACAAAAATCTACACAACTTACAAATATCAATAATTATGGAGTTTTCTTAGCAAATAATGTCCGTATTGGTATCAGACCTATTCCCATGTTCTGATCTTTCTATTTTTTTTACCCATTTCTTGCGTAAAGTCTTCCAACTATATTTGAAAATGAATTGGTTATCCATATTAAGATTTACTTGTAGTTCCGCTTCTTGTTCTAACAGAAAGACTTGTCGGAAATCTGGTTGGTCCAACCAAGAAAGGCATGGGAGTCTTTGGGCGTATTTCATACGCAATTTTTTTATTTTATTTTATTATTTGAATAGAAATCTCCCTTCCTAATAATTATTATGGAGTTTTCTATTTTGTGTCAATATCTTATCATTTAAATGTTGGAAAATAGGGTCTAATTGCTTCACATACACAATAAGAAGTTAGGTCATCTCTACTCATAGAGTTAAATGTAGTCCAGGACTATAAATTTAGCCCTCCAAAATATTAATCTTTTAAAGAATATTGCAGGGCTAAATTTTTTCATCTGTAGCCATGCATGGTTATATTTTAGGGTCCTTCATATTTTATTATTTTGAGAAAAACTATGATACAACACTCATATATTCCATAACTATGTATTGTATAATTTAATTTAATTACTATTTAGAGACAATATTGTTTAATTTATATATATATATAAACAAAACGAATTTACAACATTTAAAAAGGTTTTAAATTAAAAAAAAATAAATAACTTTTCAATCAATGGTTTTGACCTCCAATGTTCAGAAACCTATATATATATATATATAGATATATATATATTACAACAAAACAAATTTAAAAAGTTATAAAATAAATAAAATAAAAATAAACACCTAACGGCTAGCTGACGTCAATGCGCCTTTAATATTGGCTGTTGGATCTACAGTTGAACGAGATGTTTTGTGCTCTTGTCCACACGTGATACTCTCTTCTTAGAAAGCACATGTGCTGGGCCCATAAAAAAAATTTGGCCTAGGTCAAAGCTGGGTTATATGTGGCCTGGTTAGAAGGCTAAAAGGTCAAATGTGGCCCTCCAAATTTGGCAAAAAAAAATTTTAACCTATTGCTAGAGATGAGTTTTGCATTATGTTAGGCTATATTTGCCCTGGGGATGGCCTTAGAGCATCCACAATCATTGTCTCTATTTTTTAGTTAGATTTTAGCTAAAAACATATAAAAGTTATTTTAGGAGCTCTCCATAAAATTTAAACTCCAACCATGTTCTCTAGTTTAGGGAGTCATAAATACTATAACTCTTTTTTAATTGATCAATCTCTATTAAAAAATAATAAATATTAATTAGAAGTTTGAAATACTCATTAAATAAAACAGTATTAAATTATACAGAGCCATTAGAAATCTTTTCTCTCTTCAAATTTAGGAGCTCCTAGAGGTCTCCCTATTTTAGGAGGTGATTTAGGAAGTCCATTGTGGATGCTCTTACACCCCCATTACGTTGTTTATGGTTGAACGGTGCTCATCTCCCATTACGATGTTTTTTAAATCGCTCAAAGCGAGGCGTAAGCTTTCCTTGTATTGAGTTATTATAATTAAAAAATATAAAAAAGTTTTTAATTTCATTCCTGCACCAAACAAGAAAAACAGTAATTATTTGGTTAGAATATGGATAAAAATATATTAAGCTGGGAGCTGTGGAGCTACTCAATTCTATGAACTAAAACAGAGAACAGAGAAGGTAGAAGGGTGGCGTCCTTCATTCTGTTTTGGATCTTTTGGTTCAATCTGGTTGGAGGGGAAGAACGTATAGGGAGTCGAGTTGTTTTGGTTTGTTTTTTATTTCTAACTTTTAAAACAACTGCGTAGTTTTCATTAAAGTGAACTAACCTTGAAAACTAATTCAAGAAACAAAATGAAAAAAAAAAGAAACAAGATGAAAATGGTGCTCTGTTCGTCTGTTGGTGGAAAATTCTGCCCAAACAAATCATTGGCATTCCACAAAAAATTTACAAAATACATTTGATAATGAATTGATAAAATTGAAAACCCTAATTGAGGCTGCAACAGCTTCGCTAGGACTACCCACTTGTATCAAATTACAAATATAAACTCAGAATACCGGCAGGTCATGAAGGCAGGGACTACACAAGCATATGTGCAAACATAGACATCTCTTATTCAGTATGTCATTTAACACCAAACCAACATCTACTGATCTTTATTTTCTTTTTCCCAAGCCATTCCAGCAACTAGAAGACTGAGAGATGCTGCGCTCATCATCACCTAAACAGAAATACTTTGAGACCATGCATGCAGGGATTTAGCCTCTAACCCCCCCGCAAGGGCAACAAACAGTCCATACAATACCAGAGCCGATCGTACACATCATTGGGTTAATCATCAGAGAGAGAGAGAGAGAGAGAGAGAGAGAGAGAGAGAGAGCAAGACAGGGCAAAACTACCGCTTGGGTTCATTCACGTTCTTGCCCTCGAAGAATTCACCCAGCATTCGTTCAAGATCCTCTGCTGTGTATCTGATATACTTTTGGGGGTTCTTCCCACTCTCAACTAGAGGCCTGTCAGAAAAATAGAATATATACATTTTTGTTACCGGCAGATACAACCAGCACTTAAACCATATATGAGAACGTGAAAGAACCATGATAGCAGTCGAATTACAAGTCCAAAAAATAAATAATTGTTAGATGTTATTCAACAGGGCACGACTGAAGTGAAGTCTTGCATGTTAGGGTCATTAGATAAAATTGCTAAATATATAGATCTCAACATTACTCTGTATAATAGGTCAGATTTTTATATTTTTTTGGCCTTGAATGTTTGATTTAGATTTTTTGAGGTCTAAAACTTTTCAGAATTTTATGAGAAAAGGGAGAACAAATTCTCTATATACTGCATATGTGATGTGTGCATGTAAAACCATAGCGATAGAGAAAACACACCCATAACGTTTTATGAAAGATCTGTAGGCAGGCAATAAGACTTCAGCTACTGCAAGTCTCAGTGACTCTCGCAACTCAGTATCAGGAACTGTCCACTGAGATTGTTTTTGATGAAGGTCCTCAAATTGCATATTGAACGTCTTGAACCTGATTTGGAATGCATTTAAGCTAGGTCAAAATGTTCCTCAAATTGCGTATTTTAAGTTTGTCTGATAGGGATAGAAGTTGAGATCAACCTGTCTTTAACAATTGCTCGTGAAACTCCACTGCTACTTCCTCCATCACCAGCTACTGAACTACCACCACCAGATGAGGTCAAGCCTTGAATGGATAGGCACTGCAGAATCTGCACTAGGGAAAGCACTAGCATTCAGAAGGTAGCGAAAAACAGAATTTTTTCGAGAAATATAGTTTAATGTGAAATGAGCACTGAAAGTGTTGTGTTAAACATATGTAAAGCATGTTTCTGCATCACTGTAATATTGCAAGAGAAAATATTTTCCAAGAAATAAATGCAGATTGGTTGGTCAGGCAGAATTACCCTATTTCTACTATTCAATAGAACTCAAACTGTTATTTTCGGACCTTTTTCCTCTATCGAAATGGTATATCTATAAGAACAGAGGATACCAATGCCCATAAAGAAACCCAAAACACTCTACAGTCTACCCTATAAAGATTACACCGCATCTCCTAGCCTTTATTCAAAGAGTAGCATTCCTCTAACCAACACACCAATAACACCTTTTTAGCGCTGAACTGAATCAACCCACACCCAAAGTATTCCATAAGTAAATAACAAACAAGTTAATTACCCCTTTGTATTCAACCCAAAACCTTTGTCTTATTCTCTTTTTCTTTTCTACTGTTTTCCAATCTCTATGAAGTAGAATGTAACTTTCTAACTATAATGAAATTGTACAAATCGAGACAGTGAATCTTTGGTATTTACTATTTAGCTACAGCAACATGAAGACATTAAGGGTTTTCATTGTGCTTATATAGGTAATAGCCACTTAGCCAAATATATATATATATATTGCAAAACCCACAGAAAGGAGAAAGAAAATCTTGAAAACAAAATATTAGTAAATATCTAATAAAAATCTGGCACTATCAACCTAAATTTAGAATATGCCAGGTAAGGTCATCTACGTCACTTCCACGGTCATGACTGATATTTGAACATGCCTTTCAATTATAAAGGAAAACCATAGTTTGTGCAAATGTAATGTGTTTTATAAGAAATATAAAACACACAGGTCATGGATTTGAGAAGGGTAGCTATTTCATAGTAGGATTCAACATGCCAAACTAATGATTGAACATACCAGCCCACACATGACAAAATCAAGGCACAACACCACTTCTAACAATTTATGTAAAACTTTACATCATATAAACTCTCTTTGGACTATTAAAAAATCTAATATCACATTCACAATATAATATCAGTTGTCTCCAGCCTGGAGATAACTTTCATATCTTCATCAATTTTTCCTTCTTATTTGTAGATTCTGAAGGTCTATAAACAAATTTTCTGGCCCGTGACTAACATATTTGAAACCATAAAAGAATTGCTAAAAGCTTTACTTCGATCATAAAGGTAATAGTAATTCTCCAGAAAGTAGGAACCAAATACCTATGAAGAAAATGAAATAAAGCAAAACAAAACAAGAACAAAGGTAAATTTATGGTGTGAAGGTTTAGTTAGGTCAAGAGAGAGCACCTTCCCCCAAGCATTTCTTTTGTATTGATTTGCATGCTGCTGCACAATCCTCCGGTGTCTTTGCACCCAATCATCCCCTAACAAATCTTTGGCTTCAGATCTGAAAACAATATGAAACAGGAGAGCGCATAAAATAGACTTCCAAGGTTTTAACTAAAAGTCAAACAAAACACATCTGAGACAAACCTGCGCACCGATCTGACCATATAATGAATATTGTTCATGAGAAATAGGTGAGTTAAAGAAGGATCTCTATACTGCTTAGATTTCCCATCCAAATTGGTCTGAAGAGCCTGCATTATTTGCATCGTGACAGAGGCTAGTTGTGAACCACCTTCATCTCCATTTTCAATTCTTTAAAAAGTTGCTTCAAGGTTGATTGGTAACTGTGAAATAAAGTGTCAGTCAACTAAAAAAATCTAACAAATTAAGAAATAGGCATACATAAACCTATATAATAGTTCAAACTTAAAAGTCTAATTGAGAAACATGTAGCTGTTGACCAGCCTAAAAAAGTATGTACGTATATGCATGAGTGCGTATATCCGTATGTATGCATGTGTGTGTGTGTGTGTGATTAGGGACACATGACCCTTCCTAACGAAAAATTCATATTCACAAAAACTAAAAGCACGTGCATGAGAGAGAGAGAGAGAGAGAGAGAGAATGCATGAATATATATAATTGAGAGTAACATGAGTGTGAATGCATGCATACGTATAGAACTAACATTCCTTTGCCAGACAGTTTAGATTAGAAAGTTATGTTAGTAGCGCCTAAACCAGATCCCTTGATCAAGTAGAATCATGTCTAAACATGTGGTTGGTTGAAATTCTGGTAACATAACTTGTCTGTTTGGAAAGAGAACACTACCATCCATAGTAGCAAATAAGGATCGAACAAGTAAAATAAATAGCTAAAACAAGTAATCATCTTGAATTCTTGGATCTTTCTCTTCTAGATTAAACAGTTACAGGTGAGATTGTTCCAACCTTGATTGTTGGAGTATTTTCATACTTCTAATTGTTCCAATCTCTCTCTATATATACAATTATACTCTATACAGGACGTCCAATATTTCTTAAAGACAGGACATGTTGAGAGAGCCTCACTTCCATTCAATTTTCTTCAACTTTGATCCCATTTATTGACACGGTTGGTTGTTTTCAGGTGTAAAATCATAATTTAGAGCTGAGACTTTACATTTCTATTCTTGAATTGGTTAGCCTCTTTGATTTTAGGTTTTAAAATTGTGGGCTTGATACTTAAAACCTAAAATTTAAGCTCTAAAGGACAATTCTATACCCTAAATAGTCAACCCTATCAATAGATGGGATCAAAGTTGAAGAAAATTGAGTAGAAGTGAGGCTTTCCCAACACCCCGTCTTTAAGACATATGAGACGTCATGTATAGAGAATCTTTGCTCTCCATATGCATATATATACATATATAAATTTAATCATTATATATAACGACAGAGAAGAATGTAAGAAAGATTTCAACATAGAAAATAAGAAGTCTGTTGGAATCATCTTCCAACCATAGACCACCAGTTCAGGCAACAGGACTAGCTAGGAAAAGACTTAAGCCTAAATATTTAAACCGTAAAATTAACGAAACTTACTCAAAAAGAAACTTCACATAGTTGATCACATAGCTTGTCAAAGGATGGACAGTGCCATCAGATACAGCAGTTTTCGTTGCATCCCTTTCAACTGCTTCTTCAAAATCACCAAAGGTCTTTTTCGCGGTCTGGGCAAGCCGTTTTGTCAAGCTTGACGCTGATTCTCTAATTTCAGCACAAGCTTTACCAATGAAGATCGTTTCAATCTGCAAATGAATTCAGGCATCAACTTAAAACATGAATCTGTTGCACCATGCCAGCAAATGACTTACTTTCTAAAACACACAGGCAAGACAGATGCAAAACCTAGACACCAGGCAAATGCGAAATGGAACATATCATATTAAGTTTAATATCCTAGATATATTGCATTACAAGCAATCATCAAGGGTACATTCTAACCTTATGAAATGAAGAGTGAAATAATTGATTATACTAATTCCTGAAATTAAGCAAATAATAGAAACAAAGCATCATGGAAAGAAGCAACAGAGTACAAAATTTTAACACCAAAAGCCCTTAATTCTCAAAATAAAAGTTGCCTGATATGCATAATTATCCTATGTTCGCCAAACTGTGATGAATTCCTAATGTTCAAAGTGCTCTAGACAAATCAACATCTTTACAAATTTCAGGCTATCAAGTGATGAAACTGCACCTAAGGGGAACACCTACTTATATCATCTCCTTAGGCCCAATTTGTCATATGGTATACCTAGTGCATGCTTTATAAATTTGTTAGATTATTCAAACCTCAGAGTGCAGCTCCCGCATTATCTCGTACATGTCTAAAAGTACAAATAACTTTTCCGGGGATCTCTTGCTGTTAGCAATCGCCTCTCCAAAACTAAGTAAAACTGAGACACTACTTCTGGTAACTTCAGCAAAACATTGGTCACCGAGAGAATCAAAGGCTTCAAACATTTGATCACAAACTTTCCGTTCACCAGCAAACAGTAATTTGACCTGTTCAAGCCCAGTTAGATATTGAGGAAAAACACAGATAACCTAAGAAGTTGAGCAAATGCCACAAATTCCTTACAGCTATACGCATGTAATGAATCCAGTTTCCAATCTTGGCCTCCAAAATCTCCCATTGCATTTTCTGAACATCATCCTTGCTAAGTTTTTCGACCCCCAATTTCTGAAGGCTTTCTTCCAAAACTGACGAACGAGTATCCCTGAAAAAATAAAAAAAGGATTGATAAAACATATTTTCAATAAAAGCAAAAACAAAAAAGACACAAACAAAAACAAAAGGTACACACGTAGTCGAAGAAGCGCACATAAGTAAAGCAGTGATGAAAAATAACAGTCCAAGCAAATACTGCAACCGTGCATGGGATCATAAGTAGACTTTACATAACCAAAAAATGTTCAAATATAAGATCTGAAGTGGACAAGCTAGAATCAATATAATTATGCCATTAGGACACCCAAGGACGACAGAGAAATTACAAATGAAATTGCAGAATACAGCCACCTCTGCACACTGGATTTTCTTTATTATTTGAAAACTCAATTCCTATGATATGAGAGCACTGGGACAAGTTTTTGTGTGCCCTACGCATTTTCCAAAAATCCTGAAACGAGGACGTCAACAAAATTGTGAAGTTCTATATATAGACATCTATATATGCTTTCACAAACCATTATTTGTAAACGAACCATTATCAAAATATTATGACAATAATAACTAAGTGCAGTTTTCTTGACAAAAAATACCCAACACCGAAACTTACTCAACACCTTCATAAGTTTCGGCTCTTTCTAGCAGATGAAGCTGCATCATATATAAGAATGCAGAGAATTGTGGACACAAGTGTCACGTCCTTGGGAGTCCAGCACGGAAAATGTTTTATGGAAGTGTCCAATGCACATAGGTCAGTTCTCTTGTGCTCAATAAAAGTTGAGCTTGTCCAACATCAAAGAACTTTATTCACTTATGAAATAGCTTTCGTTAGAAATTTTTATCTGAATACAGCACTAACTATCTGACTTTTTCCATGGAAGTCTTCAAATTTATACTTTAACACAGTAACTGTTTAACAAATCACGTGCCTTTGACGTAACATGAAATCTTGAACCTGTTGTCATGTAGGGAATGAATAAACCAACATTCTACATAAGATAACTGAAGACCAAAGAATTACCCCTTCTGTTACCTGTAAATTATTAGCAACTGCTGTTGGTGACCAGCTTGAAACATTTGCTGGGCTAAATCATGCAACAATGGAATAACCCGTGGTGGTATTAGAGTAGGAGGTGTGTAAACAGCATTTTCTAAGCTACTGTTGTGGTGTTCAGCATGATTATTGGATGGATTCTTGCCACTGTAATCACCAGGAGACCCAGAAGATGGCCGCAATGAGTTTGGGAGGCAATCAAAAAGGCGTTCAGGCTCCACAGGTTTGCTGAAAATAAAAATAAAATAAAAAAACAGATAAACGGTGTAAATGGAGCACACTTGCAACTCTAAACAGGGAATCAATTCTAAACAACATTCGTAGGATTTTCTACTTCCCCTTCGTAAGAGCTTATAGCAAGAAGGCAAAGAAAATGCAAAAAAGGGAATCAATTCTTACTCATCAGCTGAATGTCGACAATAGTGCTAGGTTCTACATATATGGCCACAATTGGTAGGCGGGACCGGAAAAGGACAGATTCAATTGAAATGGATAAACAGTCCTGTCCCATCAACTTAACAATAGCGAGACTAGATTATTACAATGGACATCTGTCAAACAAGTCCCCTCCCAAGAGATGGGTCTCTATGGGACTGGACTGGACTCAGTCTCAATCCAGTCCAGTCACAACTACCAAGCATGATCAACCCAAGGAAAGAAGAGGAAAATGTAGTAGTGTGTGGTGACATGTCGTCATTAAGGACTAACATAAAATAGGAAATTCTTAACATAATGCATAATAGACAATATCCACTAAGCTCTGGACTGAACAGCTGCAGAAGAGAAGCCCAAGAGGAATTTGAGAGGTGGACACTGATATGGCTCACATTGTTTCTGGATTGACATTAAATTACTAGTGCTTTCTATATAAGCAGTAGCTGGAACCACATAGTGCCCAAGGGCGCCCCCTCATGTTTTGGTTTGAGGGTGACCCCTAAGAACTAAATTTGTGGCTCCACCCCTGTATATAAAGGGATGAGTAGGAATTTGTTAATATATATTTTAGTAGTTTTTAGTTCCATATCACCATATCATATAATATCACATATCTCATACATGTGTCCATGCGACATAGGTTCCTGTAGTTTCAATTGTTCCAATCAAGTCCTCGTAATTAACTAGTGGTTGCAATCAAGAAAATGGGTATGGGATTGAGCTAGTTAGATTCAGGATTGCGGTGATCAGGCTGGATATAATTCTGGAGTTGTTGGAGAAGTGGATAAGATGGAAGTCATCCATGGTTTTGTTTTTTTTTTCAATTTTTCCTTTTTAATATTTTAACATATTTTGTTCTTGGATCATATTTACCATGCACTAATGAATCTACCATCTAAAAAATTGATGGAATTCTTTTTTTGGACTTGATTGCAGGCAATAATTAAATTATAGAGACTTGATTGAAACAATTGAAGCTACAGGTTCTCCAATGTCAATACAGGAGCATTGGTTGATTTTTGGAGAAAAGGGTGGTATTTCCCAAAAGAACAGGATAAAGGCATTGTTGAGCATTGAAATACAAACCTGTAAGACAACAGCAGCTGCTTGAACTCATCTTCAAGCTTTGAAATTGCTTTAGCAAGCAAACTATTTGCTTGACTGAGAACCCCATCACTACTCTTAAAGCCTTTGTTGCTACTAAAGAACCGTATATTGCTTCTTAGCTGATCAATTGCTTCTAGATAACTTCCAAGTCCTCACGTGGCCCTCTAAGTATTTTGGACTCAGCCTGCAAATTGAAAGGACAACAATATCAACAAGCATAATGGTTAACATGCATCATAAGACACAACACATATAACATATATATGTTTAAGTGAAATGGTATAGAGACAGGCAAGACAAGGTTAAAATATCCCAGTTGTTACAACTCTAAAGTTCTCAAATGAAAAAAGCAATTTTACTGCTGGAAAAGATTAAAGAATTTATGAATGAGAGTTAGATTATCGAATATGCAAAGACTCGTAAAGAAGGAGAGGTAAGGTAAGATAATATCTTGCAAACTATGAAGCGTGGACAACCCTGAAGGTGGTTGTGTCAGACACATAGCCACCACCATTTAAATGACTCGCCTTAAGAACATAAAATAACATAATTTTCATGTGTCAGTGCCTAGGCTCTGTTGCTTGCAAGCACCATGACTGCTTCACAACCATTCACCATACCCAAAATATTACATGTCAATGGTTACCTGGATATAATTCCAAAAGACACAATAAAACTACATACAAAGCACATTCAACAATCTTGTAATACATGATCGAATGATTGAATTTGGTCTTAATGTATGACAGCTTTGTCTTTTCTAGATCTTTTCAAATATTGTAATTAGCGTGTAAATCCCTCTTCTATTTGGATAGAGAGATTTGAAATCTAAGGATTTTAATCAATATTATACAGTGAAATAGTGACTTTATTATTTGCAGCATTTACATGAAAATAATAAGAAGAAATGAATGGATGTCAAATGATTCGGGGATCTAGTCATTTCAAATTCAATAAATTATGTGGTACTAGTAATTTCAAATCTACTTAAAAATACATTTTATCCAGTGCTTTATAGTTTTGTCTTCTTTTTTTCTTTTTTTTCTTTTTTTTTGGGTCAGATATAGTTTTGTCAACTAATCTAGTCATATTCTCATAAATTCAAATCCTTTCTTCTAAATCATCCCGTCCAAATGGAACAAAAATTAAACAATTCCCATGTTAAAAGCACCAAAAAGCACGGGATGAACAAAACAGGATTATTTCGGCCTAAAGGTAAAACCTGAGCCCTTAAAATCGCAAACAAACAAACGTCAACAAATAAAATCCAAGGAATTTGAAATAGCATGCTTCTCTAGATATAAATTAATCAGCATGGTATACAAATGCCATTTCACAAAACTAAAAACATAAAATAAAGTGTTACACTCACCCCAGAGTACAACCACTAACAATGATCTCATGAATTTCCTAAACGCAAATGGATAATACCCAACTTCAAATTAATCAATATAAATTCAATCTTGTTAAACATTAAACAAATTTAGAAAATCCTGTGACTAACCTGGCGAGAAAGATCGAATTGTGCCAGTATAACCTCAGCAGCCTTCAAGGTCTTATCAATGTTCTCATGTGCTTTCCGGATAGAATGCGTTCTAATCTGTACTATCCAAAATTCAAACAAACCCAATAAGAAAACATGAACAAAAGCTCCAAATTGTGAAAGAAAATCAAAATCCCAACAGTTCCCGAGAGATCCGCTTTTTGGTCACTAAGATATTAAAAGAAAAAAATATCAAAAATCTCTAAGACCCATATTTGGTTCTGTTAAGAAAAGTAAAGGCCAAGTCAAACTCTAAGTGATCCAAGCTTGGTTCCATTCTTGTTGAATAAGATTTCCTGGCGACCCAAACAGAAAGTTGGGGGAAGAAGACCCACCTGGGTAGGACGCATGGCGGTTTCAAGGGCAGAGAGGCGGTGGTCAAAGGAGCCGAGAATGGAGACGACGCTGTCAGTGATGGTTTGGCTCTTTTGCAGTGACTCTCTCATCATGGCTGCTCTGAGGCTCAGTGAATCGCCGCCCATTCCTGTTGTCAAAACACCCATCTTCGTCTTCCTCCTCCGTTGTTGCTGCAGAGTTAGAGAGAGGAGAGAGAGAGGGGGATTGATTTTTTTTATAGTTTTAAAGTTGGCGAGGTGGAGATGAAGGGCCCCAGTGACAGGTTGACGGTTCTTCTTTTGGGGCAGACGCGAATAATAATGATTAAAAAAAATAAAAATTCCTGTCTTCCTTCGGACACGGTGAATGAGCAATCTACCAACATGAAACAGATTTTTCTCAAGGAGAATTCTATTTACACCCCATATTTTTGCTGATCCCACCCCACGACAAAAACAATATTTTTAGCCTCCTTTTAAATGAGAAAAAATAACTCAAAATTTAGTTAAAAGTTTGGGATTTAAGAGATGAAATTGACAATTCCCTTATAACTTTGTTTGGCAATTTAAGCGTGGAATTTATTAAATAATGCAAGGAAAAAATCATGAAAATTGAGGCATCAAATTCTCGAGTTTGATTTCCACCAAAATATGCGTCATTTCACAATTTTCATAGTGTCATTTACAAAATTCGATATACATAAATTCAAACACTAAAATCTTCAATTGTCGGAAATTAAAATGATAGAAATCTAAATTCCGTCATTTTAAAATTCTATATAATTTTCAAATCATTCATTCAAATGGATGGTTAGGAAGAATTCATTTATAAGCATTTACAATAATGTCAACCATTAGATTAATCTAATGAATTTTAATTAGTCCATATCAACATAATTGTACTATACTCAAAATCACTCGTTGCACTTTCACTATTTTTTATTTTTTTTATTTTTTTTGGAATAGATGCTTTATTAAAAAATAATAGCATCATAACAGTATACAAAAGATAGCACTGAAAATAGCCAAATTATCCAAAATTCAAACATGAAAGACATGAACAAACGCGTGATCTTAAAAGGACTTGCGCTTGAACAACTCAAGGGTAAAATAACAAGAAAAGAGATAGAAAGAAGGAAGAGGAAGCCTGAACATCCGTTTAAATCGATATATACATCAACAAAATCTAGACAGCACCCGAAACTTGTAGCCCAACCAGCAGCGATCCTAAAAACATTTAAATCGAACATCAGAGACATCAAAGAATAATTCAGTTGACAGCCACATAGCCCCTCTTCAATTGAAACATGAAAATCTGAACATAACAACGTACGCCTAGCCAGACAATGTGCTACTTGATTATAACTACAAGAAGCATATTGACAAATCACAACACGAAAAAGCATTAGATAGGCTTGTGCTTCTACTACTAATGCACCATCGGAATCCAAACATTCATGTGAAGCATTCAAACATCTAATCACCTCTTGAGCATCCATTTCCAGAATAAGATACCCATAACCCATCTGAGATGCCACCTGTAAACCCAAACATACTGCCATAAGCTCAGTAGCCAGTAAAATTTCCTCAAACTTGTTTGGAAGCTACTACATAAGTTCCCTATTACAATTACGAGCAACCACGCCTAGACTCCGAAAACTCTCCCGTAAATTAACTACACCGTCCACATTCAACTTCACAAATAGAGCACAAGGCCTTACCCAACGACAATCCAAGACAGGGATAGGCTAGTGAAGTGATTCCTTTTCATTTGCCTGTTGAAATTCAGTAATTAGAGCACAAGTACGAGTAATTAGAGTTGATGCAAGGACAGATGTACCATGAAATCAACACTCATTTTGATTATGCCAAATACTCCAACACAAATATGAGATAATGACCATTTCTTGTTCGGAGAGAATTGTTGTAGCATATTCGGCCACCAAAGAAGATGTAGGGGTCTTTTTGTTCCAGCAGCCTGACGAATGGGCTCGGGCTGCCGTAAGAAGACAACGAACAAAATTCCCCAAAAAGCCTGGGTTCGAAACCAAGCTCCCAAAAGGGTTTTTATAAGATCCGATGAGACTTTAGAAAAACACTCTTAAGTTCATCTCACTAACACCAGATAAGCATGATAAACTGATTAACGGCTTAACCTGAGGAGCCTGTGGCATGGGAGCTAAGCTTTCACAAGTTTAGCAATTTGAGAGAGAGAGACATGAATTTCTTATAGAGAACAAGAGCCTGAAGTGAACAGAGCACGATTAGAACGATTCCTATCCTAAGAGGGAGAAGAAAACGAACGAAAGAGGAGATTGGGTGTCTTGAGTGAATTCTCAGATGCTTTGACAAAGCTTGGTCAGGCCTCCGAGTGGGTTGATTTTCTGGGTAGCAAAAGCCCTCTTTTATAGGCATGAATAACCCTAATTTCGTCTAATCCTTTCCCTCCCTTTCTAGTTTCTTCCTTCCACTTAATCTTTTGGGTGAAATTCTTTCGTTCGAGATGCATGGGTAAGGGACCCTTTGTGGTTCCAATGGTTTGACGCAGCTGGACCTCCCCATGAGGGCAAGGTGCCACCTGCTTTCTCTCTTTGGTTTTCAAAACGAAGCTCGTAATGGAAAAGAGGACGGATAGAGCCTTTTGTCCGATACCCATAAATCTCCGCTGGTTCTTGTCATGGCTCCTTGTCTGACTTGTTTGGAGTCCTAACAGGGATGGAGCACGACACCAACTTTTTAGAAGGGTTTGGGCTGGGCTAGTGTGTATAGCGTTGGATTATCAATGTGTTATCTCCAGCATCTAATGGGCTTTTCGCCAAGCTGCTGGAAGTGACTTTAGTTTTTTAGGCATTCTATTGATATGGGCTGGGCTACTAGATGATTTCCTAAGGCTTTGGACCATTTTCTCTTCTCTTTCATGCTAACCCATGTATTTGGGTTCTAGGAACGAGCTTGAGTTTTAATGCCCCCAAGTGGCTTAAAACGTGCGTTCCTCGAACCCTCAATGGGCCCTGTGATTGCTTGTTCCCCTCCATGCCATAACCTTCTCAGTAAGCCCCGGTTTAATTTTTTTTGTGGCTTGGGTCCACTTGAGTCATAGCTTTGTGTTAAAATAATGGCTCTTTTCGCATGATGCCTATGCTTACGCTTGAGTTTTATTATTTCGGGTCAAGTAACACCTGATGAGCACGTGAGCGTGATTTTTGTAAGGTTGGTGTGTTTTATTTGGCCCCTTTGTATGGCTTACTTGGCATGGCGCGTGGCTGGTAGCATGTATTAGTGGGTCCCACAAATGCCCCTTCGTTCCGATTAAGCCCTTTTTGTATCTTCTTTTATGTGTTGGGCCAGGAATTAATTTGGGCTTAACCCATTGGATTTTTGGGCCTCAACAGAAGATAAAGGAGAAAGTAGCCAAACCACTTTTGCTGACGGACAACACCATAAAGCATGTATAATTGTCTCTAGCTTTCTGGTAGAACGAAAAAAAATCGGATTAGGAACAATTTTATGATAAAAAAAGATTAGTCATGCAAGGTAAGAGACCATGCAAAGATCGCCACAAGAAAATTTTAATTTATTAGGAATTGGCAAAGACCACATAGAGGTCCAAAGTGTGTCCCTACCACCATGAGAAGTTCATATACCCTCACCAACACGCAATTTAGCATCATGTGCAACTCGATAGCCACTTTTGACACTATATATACCATTTTTCTGAAAATGCCAAATTAATTTGTGTGGGATGGCAAAGCTCGATAAAGGAATGGACATAATAGCAACAGCTTCAGAAGCCTATAAAACCTATTGAATTAAATCAAAATCCCAATAGTCCTCAACATTTATAAGAGCGTTTACAGAAACATCAAGCGAAAGAAGTGGGGAGAAGAAATCCGTAAACTGGTAGAGCACTGTAACCAAGCATCTGAATATATTTTAATGGAAAGACCATCCCCAACACTCCAACGAAGCCTGCTTACAAGCAACTCCCGACCCCACAAAGAGAACTCCATATATAAGACGAATTTCGTCCTTTGCTCACCTTTAAAAAAGACTTGTTGGGAAAATAGCATCCTTGATAAACTCGGTTGACCAAAGAACCCGGATTGGAGAGAATGCACCAATAAAGCTTGATTAAAATTAATAAAATCCAAACCACCATCCTTTTTCGAATAGCAAAGAGAAATCCATTTAACCCAATGTATCCCTTTGTGGTTATGCTTTTTGCCCCACCAAAAAATGGTACACATAGAAGAGAACTCAGCACAAAGACTCTGTGGTAGACGGAAAACGCTCATGGAATATGATAGTATAACTTGAACCATTGATTTTAATAAAACTTCCTTTCTGCTTTTGAAAGAGATTTTTCCTTCCAACCATTAAGAGTACTCCACACATGATCGCGAATAGAATGGAAAAGCGCCATATGCCCATGACCGCCATAGTTGGTAAACCAAAATATCTTTTATGACAAGCTACGACTGGAATACCAAGCGCAGTTGCTACAACATCTAAACTTCCTAAGAGGCATTGGGACTAAAAGATAAAGCTGATTTATGAAAATTAATTGTTGACCTGAAACCTCTTCATAAATGCGGAAAATCTCCTTCAAGGTAAGACACACAGCTTCTGACATTTCAAGAAAAAGAAAACTGTCATATGCAAACAAAAGATGTGAAATCCTTGGACGAGAATAGCCAACACCTTCACTTACCCTTTCTCATGTAGCTTATCATTTTATTAATTAAATGGAGTGTATCCAACTGTAGGGGACTTTTTCTTCCGGCATCTATAAATGGGCTGGGCTGCCTTAAAAGGTAGACTAATGAAATTGTCCCCTTTGCCTGAGTTCGAAAATTAAGCCCCAAAAATGCTTTGAAAGGCCAGTAGAGCCTTAGGAAGCATCTTGGTTACCTTCACCGACTAAAACAACAGCAACTTACAGATAAAATTTTGAGCTTGGCATGAGAGGCATGTGGCATGGAAGGAAAATCAACATGAGTTTAGCACTGAGGGGAAATTTACGCTTTCTTGGGGGAAAAATGGAGTGTTAAGGTAAGAAAGGAGAAGTTTTGTAAGAGATTCGGCTAAAATAGAAAGAAATAGAGAACAGAGTTCTTCCAGCAGCTTGACAGATGCTCTGTCTGTCAGAAGAGAAGAATGGAGAAGAA